CCGAACGACAGACAGGAGTTAAAACAGATCAAAGAACAGTCCGAAAAACAGTCCGAACGACAGACAGAAGAGTTAAAACAGATCAAAGAACAGTCCGAACGACAGTCCGAACGACAGACAGAAGAGTTAAAACAACAGATCAAGGAACAGTCCGAACGACAGACAGGGGAGTTAAAACAGATCAAGGACCAGCTAAAACATGTAAAATTGGAAGTGGCAGAACAGATTGAAGAACAGTCAACAAGAATAGAAATGATCGAACAGAAACTTGATCGTCAGACCGTTGAGGTAGATCACAAGATAGACAAATTGAAGCGAGAATTAGAGCAATCCAAAAAAATGGCCATGCCGTTAGATCACGCATCCGGAAGAACTTTGAAGGTACCAGCATTTGACGGAGAGATGTCCTGGAACGTTTATAAAACTCAGTTCGAAGCAGCGGCAACTAGTAACTGTGGGAACGGAAAAGAATGAGCAACAACACTGATACTGGCCCTGCGAGGTTCAGCAGCAGAGGTTCTTCAGACGATTCCGGCGGAGAACCACTTCAACTATGAAGTTCTGGTTAGCGCGTTGGATTTACGATATGGTGAAGAACACATGAAACAGATTTATCGGTCTAAGCTTAGAAACAGAACGCAACGATCTGGTGAATTCATTCAGCAGCTGGCACAAGATATCGAACGGTTGACATTGCTGTCGTATCCGACATCAGACCCCGAGCATAGAGACGAAACTGCCCTGGATACGTTTATCAAAGCCCTTCGTGATTCGGAACTCAAGCAATCCCTTCTCTTGTCAGATAAACGAAAACTCAAGGATGCCGTTGCGCACAGTCTCACTTTTGAATCGGCAAAGCAAGCATCAAAAGCATCAAGTACATGAAGAATGCTCTTTCCAGAAGGTGGTTGTGAAACGGGAACCCCAACAGCATGGTGTACCCCAATGCTGGATTTGTGGTGAAAAAGACTATCTACGTCGTGATTGTAAACTCCGCCTAAAAGATAACTACTGCCGAAATTGCGCGACAAGATGGCGCAAAAGAAGAGAAAATGATCCTGTATCACGATAATAAGAGCCAACTTTGTGGGGCAGCGGTTGGCTAGTAGAATTGACACCCCCAGTACCGTAATTAACGTTTCCAGACTACATCGAAATCGAAACGACCTATGGCTGAACGGAAAAGTTGATCAACGAGAATGTGTAATTACAGTCGATACCAGAGCAACAACAATATCAGCGGATGACGGTTGGACACCGACGGATCTTGCTGATGCACAGTTTGCGGATGAGGACCTACAACATCTTATCACATGGAAGAAGGAGGGTAAGCGACCGGACTGGCAAAGCATTTCAGAATATAGTGCCGTGTTAAAGGGTTATTGGGCTCAGTGGGACTCTTTGTATTTGGAAGGGGATTTGCTGAAACGAAAATGGGAATCAGCTGATGGATCAAAACACCGCATTCAAGTTGTAATACCAAGAAGTAGAACGACCGAAATCCTTGATGAAATGCATGGCGGCCCTTCTGGGGGACATTTAGGAGTGAACAAGACCCTTGACAAAATACGAGAAGGATTCTACTGGCTTCACGTTAGAGAAGATGTAGAGAGCTGGTGTCGAAATTGTAACACATGCGCTTCAGTCAAAGGACCCAAAAGAAGGCTAAACGGAGCAATGCAAATCTACAATGTTGGTGTCCTCTTTGAACGGATTGCTATAGATATTGCTGGACCCTTTCCGGTATCAGATTATGGAAACCGTTACATTCTGGTTGTAGCGGACTATTTCAGCAAATGGCTTGAGGTGTTTCCAATACCCAACCAAGAAGCATGTACCGTCGCTGAAGAAATTGTACTCAATTGGATTAGTCGATATGGTGTCCCATTGGAACTCCACTCAGATCAAGGTCGAAATTTTGAGTCACAACTGTTTGGTGAAATGTGCAAGCTGCTGGGTATAAACAAAACTCGAACGACACCTCTGCACCCACAGTCTGACGGTATGGTGGAACGATTCAACATCTGGCTAAAGTAGTCGACGATAATCAACGGGATTGGGATCGTCATATACCATTGTTTCTTATGGCATACCGGAGTGCTATCCACACAACTACTGGAGAAACACCATCAAAAGTCCTGTTTGGGACTACCTTAAGAACTCCAGCTGATGTGAAATATGGCGTACCACCTGAACCACACCAACCATTAACAGAATACGTGGATAATCTTCGACAGCGATTAAACCATAGCCACCGTTACGTACGTCTTAAAATTATAAAAAAACACGGAGGTGGCCAAAACCAGATACGACTTGAAAGGAAGCAGTGGCGGTTTTGCTGTCGACGAGTTAGTTTGGCTGTACAACCCACAGCGAAAGAAAGGACGTTCTCCAAAGCTCCAGCGAGGGTGGGAAAGACCTTATCGAGTCATCACCCGCTTGAATGACGTCGTCTACCGTATTCAGGAATATCGGAAGCCGAGAGCAAGAATGAAGATCGTTCATTTGGATAGACACCGGAACGAAAGCTGTTCATCACGTTTATAACGGGACGAAGAAGGGGGTAATGTTATAAACGTGATACCGAACGCACTAAGTTCTAGCGTATTCTAGAATGTTCTAGTGACTGGAGCATTCTAGAGTATGCTAGAATCGGACCATCTAGAAGAATCTAGAAACGACGCTTGCGAAGAGTATATAAGCACACGTCGCAAGAAGATTAGTGAAATTCGTGATTTTGTAAATAGCGACTCGGTGAATTATTTAAAGCGATATTTGATTTGTTTGTTGACGTTGTCATAGCGATAGATTTTGAACGAATTAAAAGTTAATTGTTGCGTTAGTTTGAATTTACTGGAAATAAACGATTAGTTGAATAAAGTTTAATAACTGTTTGGAATATTTTATTCAATCGAGGATTTGAACCCGTCGCATCGTAAATCGGTTACGACAGCGAGTATAACAATATTCTTTCTTCTCTGACCTGATAAAATTTGGTCTAACAAAATTTTCTTTATTTAGAGTGTTATTTTCATATCTTTGATTTTGTTTAGAGTATTATTTGTCTTTGCTTCTACTTTGTATTTTGGTACCAAAATTTCTTTGTCTACATTTTCATATCTCCGTTTGTGTTGATAAAGTTGCTTTGTCTTGACATTCGTATTGTATGGTATTTCATTACTTAAAAATTTATTGTCATATTTCGGCTTGATGTTAGAAACGCATTCATCAATTTTTGTTAGTTCTTTGAACAGTTTCTCAATGGTCGTTATTTCTTCTCTATTAAGCTGGTTTTGCATTTCTAACCCATAACGATCATGTTTATTCTCGACATTTAAATTTCTAAACATAGGTTTTCCTTCGCTAAGGCATAGTCTTTTAAAGAACCACCTAAATATTTGTAATTATATGCGGTTCTTATTTTTTTCCAACCTCTATCTGCAAAAATGGTCAGAAAGGACTTTCTTTTCCTTCGCTAAGGCATAGTCTTTTAAAGAACCACCTAAATATTTGTAATTATATGCGGTTCTTATTTTTTTCCAACCTCTATCTGCAAAAATGGTCAGAAAGGACTTTCTCCATTCTGACCAATTAGTTAAGTCGATCTTTTTTAAATTTTATTCCTACCAATCTTCCGGTGACCCAGATAAAAAGAAGCGTTATACTTCTGACATTAGTAGGATTTAGTATTTTATGCCTTCTACATTCATTTTCAAATTTCTCTATCCATTCAGTAGGGTTTTACTTTTTGTTGAATTTTTCCAGAATAAATTTTTTTTCAACGTCTTGCAGCTTAAAGTTATCATTCAGACTGAACTTAGCTTCTAATTCCTTAATTCATTCATTTAAAAAATTGTCATCTGATTCATCTCTATGTTTATTATCAATAATTTTTTCTTCTAACATATTATCTAAAAAATATAGATTTTCGTCTTCGTCGTAATATTCTTTTCTCAATTCATCATCGAGTTTTATGCAAATTGTGCGATAACCGTTAATAGGTTTGATAGAATTAATTGTATCTCGCTTCCAAACTTAAATCTTTTTTCTCTTCAGGTAGGACATACCATGTTTCTTTATTTTCCGATATGCCCGCTAATTAAAATTCGTCATTATTTCTTTTAATAATATGAAAATACAACTTACTGGTTATTGAAGCCATCTTCTTTTTGAAATTTAATTTATAAGTTTGCTTTCCAATAACCTGATTTATTAATCTAAAATAGAAAATCCAAATGAGTAAATAAAGAACATAAATAAAATCAATTGAAAAAATATGAAATATTACAGAAATTATAAATGAATAACCAACCTAAAATAGAAAAATTAAATTCCAGGATCGTTTACAAAGCCAACAATAATAATATATTACCACGTGCAATAATAAAATATGACCACGTGCTATTTGCATTCATATATAAGATGATACCAAAGTAATGATGTTTTTGAAGCCATCTTCTTTTTGGAATTTAATTTATAAATTTGCTTTCGAATAACCTGATTTATTAATCTAAGTAGATAAATTAAATTCCAGGATCGTTTACAAAGCCAACAATAATAAAATATAACCACGTGCTATTTGCAATTTACAAGCACAAAATAGAAATACATTGATAACTAATATATTATATTAGTTATATTTTATAATAATTTATAACTATATATATATATATATATATATATATATATACATATATATATATATATATATATATATATACATATTTGCATCTATATATATATATATATACACACAAATAAAGGGCAATAAAAACTATTTAGGAGTAATATTCGACAAATATAAAAAAGGCTTTTATTTGAACTAAACAGTATACGAAAGCTTAACTTGTTGGGCTGCTTTAAACAGATAATTAATTAAATAATAAGAATAATAAGATAATAAACAATATTAGTATCGACATTCAAAATGTTACAAGATATTTTGGCACTTATTACTTGAAATTAATTTAATATCGTGCGATAATTTTTTTTTAATGCAGAGACCGTCTTCATTGAGAGTTGATCAATTAGATCGGACACAAGAAAACAACGACGTTATTAGATTCCCAAAAATCATTCATTTTGGTTATAGACCTGCTCAATTAAGCTACGTAGGAGATGTCGTGTGAGTTATGTTTAAAGAGCATATTTTTAAACTTTATATTAGAAATGTTTTTTATGATGATATTAATATTACGGCGGTTTTGTCGTGGGTGCCATCTTCTATACCTTTTAGGTCTATGAACGGTTGGATGGGCATTTTAAGATTATTTATAATTATTATACGTTGTATATATAGCTTATATATGCAGCTTACAAAATATTTTAAACCTCGTTGATTTTCTTTTCGTTCTTTTTTATACTAATTTTATGTTTTCATGTCACATCTTTTTCAGTTTTTTCTATTGAAATTTACTGTTTTATACCGTCAGTTACAGCAAGTTATTCAAACAGTACATGAAGTTGAAATATTTGGTAGCAAACAAGCCTAAATTATCTATAAAAGACAGAGACAAGTTAAGGACGTTAGAAAATCAATTACAAGAAATCAGAATGAAAGGGTTACTTTCTCAAAATAATGGCTTGATTTCTTTTTTTATTTAATTGTACAAGTTTAAAATTCTTGTGTCTGATTTAGATCTCTAAAAAGAGAGATGACCGTTGAAATAAGCAGCGAAGGATTTATGAGGACTGGCCTAAAGTCTGACATTTGCCAGGTATCTAACTTTGCAATCACTTTTAAAGCATTTGTCTTCGAGTGATCATAAACGAATCTGTCGTGAAATTTTTCAATTTATCTTGTCTTTTTTGAGTAATGCATAAAACTATTTATAATGAACGATTAGAAAATGGAAAAAACTATAGATATTTCTAACATTTACGAGGTGGGTAACGTTTTAACGTATAAAGTAAAACGTTTATTTACGTGAAGTTTTACGGTTCTATACTTGCATATAATGGATTACGGAGCTTTTCTACCGTAACGCCAAATGTCGTTAAATGCCATTCTTTAACAAAAATGTTTAACAATCCTTATTATAAATTTAGAATCGTTATTTAATATTGTATCAAAGAAGTTAACCTCAATGTGTTTAGTGTACTTTTGAAAATTTTGTGACAGTTTACAAATTAAACCAAACATGTCAAAACTTCCAGTTTGAATTATTTCTTATGAATAATTATTTTTGTTTTTCAGCTTTATAAATTTCATAATTTTTTTCAATTTTTGTGTCCCATAACAATTGAACGTTACTGACTGGAAGCATTGCTAGAAGGGCTACAGTCGCCAAGTTTTTCCAAATTTTATTTGAGCAAAAAATACGTAAAGCTCAATGCAATATTTTGATTCAGTGGTCAAAATTGACTAACTTATCGAAAATTAACACTTTCCTCTTCACAAACAAAGCTAGCACAACCTGCATTCATTGGCTTTTTTATTAAGTTTGAAAAATCTATATCTTTTTTAGTTTATTGTAATTATTTTGATAATTACATAAAAGCTAAAAGATTTTCGAAAAATCCGAACATGACGTGACTTGACAGAATCAAATAGAGTTTCTCTAATAACTTTTTTTTCAGACGAGTTTTTTTTCAATAAATTTCTGATTCAAAAAATACTTTTTCATGTTTTCGATGTTGTAATCAGGATGAATTGAATGTCGTAAAAGAAATCTCATCAAAAAATTTTAAATTTGCAAATAACCCGAGTGCACTTATTGTCATTTTTTAAAAATTTCGAAATTTCATACAATTATTTTAGTAATATCTGTAAGCTTGTTAAAAAATGAATTACACTTAAAATCAGTGGATGTAATTTTTTTTCTTTACTTGATGTTTGTTTTAAAACATATTACTAGCATTTATTTATAGTATTAAAGATAACTGATTTAATTAGAGAGAACAAGATCGTAAAAAAATTTTCAAGAAAATAAATTAATTTTTTTAATAAAAACTCCGGAGTATGACGAAAAAATCTATTCATAAAATTTTGACTTCGGCTGAAATCTCCAAAACCTACCGACTGTTCAAAAAAATTTTTTAATTTTCATGCAACATGTTTTGTACAAGCTAAACTAATTTTTTTTTCGATCGAGTTATTACGGCTATTGGATTACAAACCCTGATGATGACTGAGAAAATTTTAAAATATTTCTGAAGTAAATGATAATATTTTGTAATGTTTTTGGGAAATAATTTGCCTTGCAAATAACTAACTTAACCACTGACAAATCTTTTAAAAAGTGGAAATTCTCTTATTTAAAAATGAACTTAAAATCTGAAAATAGCGTAATGGTATGAGGGCGTCATAGTTTAATTCTCGGTTACATATTTACTGAAGTAGAATATAGATCTATGTGAAATTGTGTGTAAGCCGGCAGACATACCATCCAAATAATTTTCAAAAAAGACAACAGGTATTAACATTTTGTATTCAAAACAGCACGCTCTTCTTATACCCGTTTTGTTGCAACACTTGCGATTCCACAAATGCTTGGATGTCTTGGAAAAAAACATCGGTTATTTTTTCAAAAACAGGCTATTGTTACAAGTTAGTACAATTTTGCATTACAGTTATTTTATAACAGTATATTTGTTGTTATCTAAAAATTAGACTTTGTCAAGCACAAAAAGAACAAACAAACAAACGAGAATAAAAATGAGAACCAAAGGGGAAATAATAGATATGTCTATATATATAACTCAATTGCTGTTCATCAGTTTTGCAAAAAGCTTTGCTTTTTTGATACGTTTGTGGAGGTCTAAAAGGTTTTTGGAGGTTTTAAAGATAAGAAAAATTCGAATAAAACAGCAAATATTGTATACAAGAACTTTTTTTAATTTGTTGATCATTTGTGATAGTGACATTATATATAAAATATAATATTCAAAATATAAAATTCAAAATATAACATTCAAGATATTTGAAATGATTATTGTGCCGACAAATCAGTAACAATTGGGGAAATGAAAATAATTTTTAAATATTGTAAGGCGTTAAAATACACTCGTGAATCTACTGGATTATGTTGTGCTGGAGTCACGGGTTTTGTTTTCTGAACACATATTTTAGAAAGAGGATGGAACATCTCATAACATACAAAAGTGGACCATCAAACACGCAAATTGATTTTTTCGCTGATTCTTGGGCATGACATAAAACTGCATTATGCCTTGCGTGCTTTTGAACAAAAGGCAAGGCCCACCGATTATAACTGGTGGTGGTCGTCAGGATGGGTGTCCGGATGTAAAAAATTTCTCCAAAATTTATTCCATGCCACCACAAAAAAAAACAACGGCCCCTAGTCCCTAGAAGGAACGCTTAATGTTGGATCACTGACTGGCCGCAGCATGGAAATCGCAGAAATGCTTGAGCCTAGAAGGTTTGACATCTGCTGTCTTCAGGAGACTCGATAGTCCCTAGAAGGCCTTAAGTGGTCGGGTGGGCTAAGAATCTCTGGGAAGTGTGCAATAGCGGAGGGATGTTGCAGAAAAATTCAGAAGAGCCTCTTTATGGTATTTAGACTTGGAACGCTTAATGTTGGATCACTGACTGGCCGCAGCATGGAAATCGCAGAAATGCTTGAGCATCTGCTGTCTTCAGGAGACTCGATGGAAATCGAATAGTGTCTGTCATATCAATTCAGACAAAAAAATATATAAATTAGTCTGGAATGGTCAAAAGACGGCCAAAAATGGTTTTGGATTTTTTGTCAAAGAACCACTAGCCCAAGAACATCTCATAACATAAAAAACGCAAATTGATTTTAGCACCAAAGGCTATTAAAAAATATCAGTTATACCTGGTGAATCATGTGTCGCCCAACATAACCTCCTTGTGGCAGACCTGGTTATCGAACTGTCAAAACATAAGTCTAAACAAATGCTTTAAAAAATCAAAACGTGGAAGCTAAAAAGCAATATTCATCGAGAAAAATTTCAACAGATTGTCACCACACAGTTCGACCACCAATCGCAATTCGGATTGGAGTACATACAAAACCGTTTTGATAAACGCTGCAATTACAGCTTGTGGAAAAACCGGTACAAAACGACAAAAATGAGATGGTTCTTGAACAAGATGAGATCAAGCTACAATGGAGGGAATACTTCAACGAATGAAATGAAATAAAATCCCATCAATTTCAACTTTGACGCTCCACCCATCGAAGGTCCGATTCCAGTCATCACTGCAGATGAGCTTACAGAAGCTCTGAAAACTATGAAGGATGCAAAGGCAGCAGGGCCCTCTGGATTCACAAATGACATTATCAACGCATTTGGATACCTGCAGTGCCCAAACGTTACTACAACTTTGCCGTGAAGTGTGGTGAAATTGCTCAATGCCGACTGAATGGAACTATAGCATGACAGTTCCGCTATACAAAGGCAAAAGTGATCCAATGAATTGTTGGAACGTACAACGTTTGAACAGCACAACGGTTGAAAACACAGATGCGTTTGACATCGGCGTTGGAGTTTACCAAGGCTCGATTCTCAGTCCACCGTTACTTATAACTATGATGGAGGAAATCACAGAACATTTGGAATTTGTTTTAACAGCCACATCTGAGCAGAATACAGCTCAGAAAGATTGTAACACCAGACTCGCCAATCATGAATTCAAAGTCAACATCAGCAAAACCAAAGCAATGAACACTGGTGAACCCATCCAATCCACAGCTACTGGACGATAGCCCTGTTCTGTTTGTAAAGCTGGTGTAAGTGTCTGCAGTGTACCCAGTGGTTACAATTAATTATACGTCGCGTGTTCACGCCTCGGAAAACCGTGCATGTGTGTAATAAATAATTGTGATATACATGTATTTGGTACATAAATGTGAAATATTGTTTTGTTAGTGAAAGAATGAATAAACGTACAACTAAACAAGGATGAAAATAAAAATAAAAGTGGAAATAATATATATATATTATATATATATAATATCAATATGTATATAATATATAGTGTACATGTACATATTATTAAAAGTTGAGAAAAGTTTGGTAAATTGCCGGGAAACCCTAAAAACAGCAGATATTTGGTTACGATATTTATGTGTTACGATATCTATATATACGACTACTTTCTTTCTTTGATAGTCACATTATAAAATATAATATTCAATATATAAATTTCAAACTCTAATATTTAAAATATAAAATTCAATAAAGTTCATTATAGTGTCAATCCATCCTGTCGCACTTTAGAACACGGAAAAAAGTATTACGATTATAATTATTTTTCGATATATATATGTTACGTTATCTATATATCAATATCTTTTTTTTTACTTTGTTGATCCTTTATGATAGTGACATTCTGAGTAATTTGCTCTTTTTTGGATTGGGATTGCGACACATTACTGCTAACTATATTTATTACCTAATTGCTTTTTTATATAAATTTTGAAAATAAAGATTGATAATTTTAAAACAAAAACAACGCTATACGCGTGTTATAAATAATTTTGAAACGCGCTTATAAATATTATTATTTTACCCAACCGAAATGACGTTAAATTTTAAAATTTTGTCCTAATTAATATTACCGATATCGGTTCACATTAAGACCTTATAGACATTTTTTAAATATATATAGACGTGTAATTTTTATCGACGTTTTTTGTTTATATTATCAAACGTGTTTTCTATTTTTCAGATGGCAATGACTCATCCTTCATTTAGGATGAATTATGGAACTAATCCTGATCATGCACGTAATTCATTGACAAACTGTGGCATGAGGCAGTTAGAATATGGAGATAGGCACATTCATTATATTCATACCAGAAAAAGAGGTTTTGCAGTTGTTTTGTCTGCATTGATTTTATTGACGTCCGATAATTTATATTTTGTATTTTGAAATATCGTTTTTTATATTTTCAAAAATGTGGTAAATGGACTATACATTGTTTTTAAAATGGGAATTTTTTATGAATGGCACATGTTAAAAATTTTGCAGCCTGACTCTATTATTTACTATTATGATTGATTCTATTAGTTAACAATTTTGCCAAGTTTAGTTTAGCCTAAGGCTGAGAATTGATTCTGCTCGTTCTTAATAGTCCGGTTGGTGTGTATGATAAAATTATCCTGTTTTATACACAATTGATTGGCTTAAATAGATTTAGTAGTTTCATTGAATTTAGTAGTTACATTTATTTATATGGTCAAAACTAATTGTCATTTTAGTTTTTGCTAAACATAATATAATAAAATTGTTTTTTCATTTATGTTTCATACCTATTTTATAACGATCAATAAATCTGATTGTCCTATAGCCAATGGTGGACACATGCTAACATCCATTTTTATATATTATATTATTTATAACTATAAAATATAAATTTATTAAATATAATTCTTTCAATGTTATATAGTTATTAAGTTTTTATCCTCTATATTGTTTGTGTTATTATGCGATAATTTCTGTTTGTTAATATTTTGTATTTTAGGTTTAATTCAATGACGTGCGTGGAAATGGTTTTTTGGTTTTTCTGACTAGATAAGTGGTCTGTTATGGCCCTCTGGTCAGTTTGTCAATAAATAATTAATAATAATATTTTATGATATTGAATTTCTTCAGATCAGCAGGTTTTAGTTTATTTTAAGTTTATTTGCTATCATTGGCGCGGTCTACTGCATTAACAGTATTTGTGACGACTGTGGACAGGTGAAGAGACATTTGCCACATTTCACATACCAAAAGATTCAAAATTATTTGCTGTTTTAAATATTAAAAGATGAATGGTCATGTGTACACAAAAATGAAAACAAAAAAAGGTATTAAGGTAATTCCAACCTATCGTCAAATATTCATGCACTGTTAATTACGGCAGTGCCACTAGTATTAACGGTAACAGTTGAAAGAAGTTTTTCAACACTGAAAAGGATTACAGATTATTTGAGAAAGATTAAAGGTTATTTGAGAAAGATCTAACGAGGAAAAACTTACTTCATTTACACTATTATCAATTCATCGGGATGATAAACTCACTTCATTGGCACTATTATCAATTCATCGGGATGATACAATTTATCCAAGGGGACAACAATTTGGTTCGGCTAGTCGTAAATTATAATGGTTGTTATTGTAATGTAAGATTTCAACATTGTGGTCCAAGTTTTCTTTTTACTTATCGATCACCTCACTAAGTAATCTAGTACATTAATCAATTATTTTATTAATTTGCCTTTTTATGCCATTACTTTATTTTATTTTCAATACCTTTCATGTTTAAACATTTTTTCTTAATTTTTTTTATTTATTTATACATATATTTTTTTCGTTGCCATTTCATTGCATAGCTGTAACAGTTTCTGCGTCTGACAGATCCTGATTTTTTAAAGTTTAATAATAATAAAAAATATAGGACAAACACCGCTTAAAAGCAAGTTAGTGAAGCTAACGATAGAAGTGATGAGATTTGCAGTTTCAATTTTGGATCCAGTAATATCCCAAAGTTGTTAAGGAGTGAACAATTTCTACCTCTAGATGTTCCTTTGGGAAACTGTGTCAAGCATGAAAAGTTCTTTCCTTGGGAGGCCATGGAGCGGGAGCAGAGGAAAGACATTGTCATGATATCTGTCAAAGACAATATTTTCATGACATTTCGAAAGTTTCCTTGCCTAATTTTACTTTTAACTATAATGCTCAATTTGGGCAGATTTACATATATATGAGCCTTAAGTTAAAGACATATACAGCTGCAACACGCATTCGTATTATAAATTTATACATTTAAATATAATATATTATCAAAAGTACTTTTTGTAAACCTCCGCTAATGATTTGTAATTATTTGTCGTATCAACTAGGCATAAAAACCTTAATGCACATCATGTCTAAGATGGCTCGTTCTAAAGAAACGGACTCTGAAATTCATCATTATGAAAGACTCGAGTTCCTAGGAGACACTGTTATTGAATTTCTTTCAAGGTTAAAAATTATTAAATTATTGTTAACCAATTGTTATTTTTAGTATTTTTACTGACATTAATTTCAATTTTGTTTAATAAAGATTATAAATTTATTACGTTTTTTATGTGGTTTTATTCATTCCTAATAATTTTTTTTTAGTATTCACTTGTTTTTTCTTTTTCCTCGTTTGGAGGAAGGGGGACTTGCAACTTATCGGGCTGCTCTTGTTCAAAACCAACATCTAACTGTACTTGCGCAAGTTAGTTTATATTCATTATTTTATAAATTTTCGCAAAATTTTTCAGTGTGTCGGAGTAAATTACAAATTTTGCTAACTCCGGCTTTCTGATTAAAACATTTTCGAATCCTTGAGTGAAACTTTTCACAACCACCATTTTTTTACCATTTTGTCTTTTTTATTTATTGGTTTTCAATCTTTCAATCAATCTTCTAAATTTCCTTAATCCTTCAAGAGATTGCAGCCAGTGAGGCCAATAACGTTCCCCTTTTTCGTTTTTTTTTCAAAAATCTTTTCAGCATGTTATATTCCCAGTCCATTCAGCCCATTGCAGAATAGGCTGGGAGTAAAACACATATAGTAAAACCTTCTATCCATCTGTTTCTAAAATTTTTCTTTCAATTTTTCTTTCAATCGTTCAAATTTATTAATCCGACATTTTGCAAATATGCAAGCTTTTGACTTTTTCCTATCTTCTGTCTTTCTGGAGCGTTCTATTTTAAAGTTTTTGCCTTTCACTTTGTGAGTTTTGCATGCTTTTCTTCGAAATATTTTTGGTAAACCAACCAGCAAATTAATATCTTTAGCAAACAACATTTTTTAAGGTTTTGTTTCTAATATTAGACTCTTTCAAGGTTTGCATGACGCATCGGTCAGCTATGTCGTTCGTGCCTCCAAGACTTAGAAAAAACTGTTGCGCCATGTATAAATTATTGCAATATTAACGAGCAAAAGGTTTTCTGCATTAGCCTGTTAAGGAAATATTCTTGATGATGCCATGGGATAAATAATTTATATAGTCATGCGATAATTTAAAAAATAATGTTCTTTAATATGCAATTATATGCAAAACTCACAACCACTCCGTAACCATGTTATACCAAAAAAGTTTTTCTAAACACCGGCCTATTTAACAAATTTTTATGATGATACCTTGAAATTTAGCATATATCGCCATGCCATAATTCAAAAATTAATGTGCAATCTGTAACCTCTATCGTCCACTTGTAGCCATGTTGTGCCATACCGTTCAGTATTTGTTGATAGCAGATTTTTTGTCAGAATCTCTAATGGATGTTACAAAAATATGCGTTACTCTGCATAATAAATCTTTCAATCTTTGTTCAAACCTATATTTTAAACAAAAATTGTGCCTTTTATTTATATAATTTTATATTTAACAAGTTTTCAAGTAGTTTATATATTTTTATTGAGTATTTTTTATTTGCAACAGTTTATATGTTATTCGATCTTTCGTAGGTTCGAAACTTGAATAATAAAACTTATATACATCTCCTGAGCAAATAAAGTCAAGTTGTTGTCCTTCCTAGGCGTCCAGCCGAGGCCCAAGCCAGTTTGCCACTTCTACCGGGTTCCTCCACAGATCTTTTATTTTGAGATGTATGCGATTCTTGAGGCAGCTAAACAAATGGGGGATATCGTCTGATTGTTAGTCTAGGCGTCCAGCCGAGGCCCAAGCCAGTTTGCCACTTCTACCGGGTTCCTCCACAGATCTTTTATTTTGAGATGTATGCGATTTTTGAGGCAGCTAAACAAATGGGGGATATCGTCTGATTGTTAGTGGTAGAAAGGACAGATGTTGTTGAGCCCTCTGTCGATTCGATTCATCCAAACCTGGATGAAAAGTCAAGTTGGTGCTGAGTTGTTGCACAGGATGCAGTTGATGTGCAATTGACCCATCAGAAAGATCCAAGCATTCTTCACTATTATTAAAAAAAAACACTTATATCCGCTGGAATGGCCAAATTGCACTACATAAAATTTCAATTGCTAATTTTTGCTATATTTATATTTGTTGTCTTTGTAAAACTAGAATCTTTCGATTGTAAACTTTTTGATAATATGGAATTGCGTTTAGAATTATTGGCGATTGTGCGACATCGACATTTTTAATTCGGTGTTTTAATAAATGTTTAAACAAGTCTATGTTTGAATAGAGACAGCCGTGTTTTTGTTGAAGCGCTTGAAAAGACAACTTTTAATCTAAAAAAATATTGAAAACAATGATGAATACTGTGCTAATGACTTAGGATGACTGCAAAGATGCAATGAGAATGCGGGTTAGGTAAAGGAACGAACCCAACAATGCCGGCACTAAATGTATACGATACAACTAATCTGAAGAAGGGACTATTAAAACGAAACCTCGATTTAAAAAGATTGTTTTGATTAACCGCTTGAAGGACGCCCTGACGGTAACAATCTTTATGAGTTTGAATTTCCGATTCTAATGGATAAAATTCTTAAAAAATTGTATCAACAGAAAGCCTAATCACAAAGGAGATATGTAGAAAGAAAAACAACGAATAATAAGGCAAAACGCATCCAAGTACAATTGAGAACAACACGAAACAAAAATACTTGACTTTGATCTCATTATTTGTGACAGACTGACAAAAATCAAACGTTTAGGGGCAACAATCAAACTCCAGGGTTACTTTTACTCTGTAAAACTACATTTTGAAACCGTTTATTTGTAGTAATATAATCAATCATATATTTTACATAGTCTCCGAGACTTCCAAATATAGTTTCGCTATGGGTTATCATTGAAAGTATCCTTAAGATCACTTTTTGTTATCATGAAAATAGCGCATGTTTCAAGAGTTAACAAAACCAAGAAAGGATTACAACGTCTACCTACCGCTAAAGGAACCGAAATAAAGAAAACCCGGCATGGCCCAAAATGATATAACGCAGGATTCAGATGCAATGTAAAATGTACAATCCACGGTACAAAAAAGTTAAAGTTTTTCTGTAAAAGAATTGGTAAGTTAGGTACGTGGTCTTTAACTGGAAAATGTAATCTACAAAATCTATGATCGTGAAAGACAGCGTGCTAAAGTCGTTCATTTGGATAAGTTAGTAATAAAGAAATAACGCGGAGCGGTTGAATTATAATTTTAATCTTTGTAATATTTGTCTATTTTATAGAACTTTAAAATTTATCAATTTTAAAATTAGAGATAATGGAGTATTTTTATTTTTGATAATGCAACTCTTATCAATCCCAGAACTGCTTACATTTTTTATACTTTTTAATTAAACCATTGCGCCATAATGGCTGTACTATATAATTATGCGGGTTGAAGGTCTATGAGTTTTAGACAGACAGGATCCGAACTATGCCGTCGTGTAATAACCAAATGATACTTGGCATTCATACCGACTGAGCCAAACTCGGTGTGTTACGCTGAGAATTATTGGTTATTTAGCGACATCGAGCGTAGTTCTTGGATTAATGAATGTTTCAATGTTATATTACTGTTGGCATTGAAATAAACATTTAATAAAATCTGTATTTATATCTTGGACCTAGGGAAAATCAAACTGAACTTCACGATAGTGCAAGTAACTATAATATCGTTTATTATTATTATTATTATTAAATACAAATAACAACAGCTTATCATGTATCCTTCTGATAAAAATTTTTTTTATTGACATTTTGGTTGATGTGCTCAGTCAGTTTGTTTCCTCTCACAGCAATGATAAATTTATAAATTAAAATATTTGATATTGATAATTATTTCACACTAGAAACTTGGCCTGCAGCATTTCTTATTATACGCCCATGGCCCAGATTTGTGCAGAGATCTTGATCTTAGATACGCTTTGGCCAACTGTTTCGAAGCTCTTATGGGTAATTTAATTTTTTGTTTTATATATTGAACATTTTACTGATTTTACCCATATAATATTTTCAATGGGTTTGAGTTATATATGTACATAAACATAAAATGCATATATAATATATATATATACATATATTGCTTTTTTGTTCAACTTTTTTAAATTTTCATTCTATTAAACACAGGATCATTATATTTAGATGGAGGAATCGAAGTAGCTGATCGAATTTTTGGGGAAGCTCTTTTTAAAGGAGAACCTAATTTGTTACATGTTTGGACCAACTTACCTGCACATCCTTTACAAATTGATGAGCCTCTCGGTGACAGACACTGGGTAGAAAAAAGCAAGCCGCTTCAGGTATAAAATTTTAAGCATAAATTTAGTATGCAAATTATGAGTTAAATTTTTTGGAAATATTGTGTTGAGTTAAAAGTTTTATAAACTATAATGTTTTTTAAACAAAACGACGTACATTTGATATGAATTGTTAAAAGTGGGTGATGGTTAAAGAGTGTTTAATAGGGAAAAAACTCAGCTCAAATTGCAAGAATAAACTGCTGGTATATTTCGAAATGAAAATGCATGCAACATTCTAAAAGCAGGAATGTGACGTCTCGAGTCAACAGCTTGTCTTGATCTTGTCTCGAGATTTCAAAATGTAAGACTTCGTCTTGTCTACTTTTAAAACAATGCCGATCTTAGTCTTGTTTTCAAAATTCAAGATAGGAAATAGTTTTTTATTCATACTAACTTTTAAACCATTTTCGGTATATTCTTTTGTAAGCATACATTAAACATATATTAAAACATATATAATAAAAAAATGCGTGCGTGTACCACATGTTTTGTCCTGGTTATGACATTAAACTGACCCTCACTGCCTTGTGAGTGATGTTGGATCATCAAAGGCTAGGCCCACCGCTTATAACTGTGGTTGCGTAAGGAAGGGCGTCCTGCGTAAAAATTAGCCAAATAAATTACTTATGATGACAGAAGTGACAATGAACCTCAGTATCCGGCAGAATGGCGTCGAGGGGGAAAATGTCGTCTAAACGTGTGTTGTTTTGTTGTTTGTACCACATGTTTTGAAAAACTAATTTCTCATTCACAGTGCTTGGTGTTAATATCTGGTAATGGTTATTTAAAAGTAAATCGACATAATGAAGATCATTGAATCATAGCAATCTGAAGGTCCATGCGAAACTTTACGTTTTTTATCATTTCGCATATATAAAATACGTTCTTTGGTTAATATTAGGGTTGTACCAAATAGTACTTTTTGATATAGCCGAATAGTAATAACTAAAACTGAGCCAAATATTGACGTATAAATTGCGCGTTTACTAAGCAACATTTATACATCAAAAACTGTTAAAATTATTAGTGTTTAACCTCTGAAATATTTACAAACGAATTCATTTTTACGAATTTTATTGATAAAAACAATACAAAGAATTTTATTGATAAAAACAACACACGTGTAGACGACATTTTCCCCAAGATCGGGGGTTGCCGTTAGGCTACCTATGACGAAACGAATACCCCTCGACGCCATTCACATCTGTCACTTGTCTCAGCTTTCTCAACCCCGCTTTCGTTCTCCATCTTCTCTCTTCATCCCAATCGCGGACGACCCCTTCCTATCACTCCTTCAACCTCGAACTCCAACGCTCGCCTAATCCCGACCCTTTCATACATTCTCAACACATGTCCATACCACCGCAATCTCGATCTCCTTACCAATGTCACAAAGTCCTCATTCAGTCCCATCATCGACATCAGCTCTGTACTACTCCTCCTATCCTTCACTCTAATCCCACACATCATACTCACCACAGCTCTTTCAGTCCTCTGCAATACAATTTCCTCCTCTCTCCTCAACACCCAAGTTTCACCATATACCATCGCTGATCTCACACATGCTTTATATACCCTCCATTTCATCTTCACTGACCATTTCTTTCCACACAATACCCCAAGTTCCCTAAATTTTATCCATCCCACACAAACTCTAGCCGTAACAGCGCTCAAACATCCTCCATCCGGGTTCAGCTTAACCCTTAAATAAACAAAGCTTTCCATTTATTCCATACCATGATTCAACCCCGTCCTTGCGTCCGTCCTATTAACACATTTCTTACATTTGAACGTGCCTTCCACTTTTTTCAGTGCCCCCTCACACCACTACATCTCCTATGTACCCACTTCTGACATCCTATACACAATACCGAGTTAGCCTTCACTCTCCTGTCACGTACCCCACAGGGGTCTATTTTACTTATCACTCGCTCCCCATTTTCCCCACTCATCATACCAACTTCTCCCGTACCATCATTCCCCTTCCACCATAACTTATATCTTTCACCTTTAGCCCCCACAAACCTTGTGCCTTTTCCTTCCATCTAATCTCCTGTAATGCAGCCACGTCAACCATTTTCCTCTGCAACTCCTCCACTTCTTCCAAACTCCAGGTACCAAACCTCCAACCCCTTGGTCTACAAGAAATCCTTCCACCCATTAGTGCTATGCTATAGAGTGGGGTGCCAGTAGCCAACCATTTACAGGGCCTTGCACCGCAATCCCATAGACTGAGTCTCCGGGGATTCTTCGCACCCTCTTCTGCCGGACACTGAGGGCCATTGTCACTTCTGACATCATAAGTATTTATTTGGCTAATTTTGGACACCCTTCCTTACGCAACCACAGTTTTAAGCGGTGGGCCTAGCCTTTGATGATCCAGCATAACTCACATGACAGTGAGGGTCGGTTTAATATCATAACCAGGACAATGTCATGACCAGGACAAATTAAAAACAAAACTAACAATATTTTTTTCAAAAAGTTTTTTTAAAATTAAATTTTAATAATATTAGAAACGAAAATTAGCTGTATAAAATAACTAAGCAAGCCAAATAGAGCAGATAAAATATTTAAGTAACTAAAATAATATAGGTTGCGTTACTTGGCGGAAACAATGTTAAGCTAATCGTAATTTGCATATGCACGGATAATGATCAAACTAACCGAACCTACAATTAGTCTGTTTTTATGTGTTTATATAGGAAATTAGTGTAAACCAGGCCTTTGTTCTTATGATTTGTTTGTTTATTGCTGTTATTGACTTTGTTAATTTTACCATTTTGATATGGTTTCTTTCTTCGGTTTTGGTCGATGTTGCTTTCTTCAGTGTCTTCATCGGTACCATTGGTTTTAGTATATTTTATTATCGTCCTTCTTGTCGGGAGTATTGTTGAAATACTTTGTGGTTTGTTTATCAGGGGTTGTTTTATGTCGATTAGAATGGCTTCGGCTAATTTCATTTCTCTTGTAATTTCTATATAATGTGTGTGTTCTAAGTGTGTTTTTATAGAACCCTCCCTTTTGTGCGTGGTCTAACATCTAGCTAGTGATATATATATAATATATATATATATATATATATATAGTCATCTAAAATAAGTCTGTTTAGAAATCAAGAATCCACGTAAAGAGAAATACCCTACATGTTCAAGGGTCGGTTATAACAATATAATAAATTTGTAGTTTTATTTTGTCGGAAGGATTAGTCGGTTTGACATTTTTATAAATGATTTGTTTTAAGACGGATTCGTCCGTTTTGTAATTGGTTTTCATATGATTTCTATGATAGAAGATGATGTCAGTGTTTGGATAATTTTGTTGTGGGCTGTTAAGCCGTTGTAGTTTATTTTTAATTACATCCTCAATCATTGCAGTACAGTATCTATTGTTTACCAATAGGTTCGTAATTCTTTTCAATTCCACATCACGTTTTTTGGTTGATGACCGATTGTTGATGGCGAATGTTCTTGTACAGATTTTAAATTGTTCATTCATTTTTTCCATTGAGGCAAATGCTTTTATTTGTAGTTTTTACTTAGTCTGCAGTTTCAAAGCTGTTCATTGCAGCTGTTCATTGCAGCAGACACGGACATCAAAAAAAGGTAAAAATTTTTCATTCTTATGCGGCTTGACGGTTCATTGATTAAAGGCGCCTAGTTTTGCTATTGCAATGACTGGGTTCGAATACAAAGAGATCCCCGCTTACCAATGTGTATGACGCGTGGTTTGCACGCGTATTCATAAACACTGTGTGTGTTTGTCGTTGAAACTTCTGAAGCAAACTCCTTTTATGCTCATTGTTAACTTTGGATTTGTTGGGAACAGTGAGTAGTTCATTAACTTTATTGGGATCTTTATATGATATAAAGATGTCATCAACGGATCTTGGATATATGTGAAGTTTAAGATGGGGTATTCTTGAAAAGTTGATTTTTCCAGATGACCAATTGACCAGATAGCGAAAAAATCATCTAAAACCCATGTCTATCGGCTCGTATAGTTTCCTATTGTTGTAAAAGTTGTTACAGTTTCTGCGTCTGTCAGATCCTGATTTATAAAGAATAATAATAAAAATAAAGGTACATGAATATTATGAACATAATGGAGCTGGAAAATTCTATTTTTTCAAAAACTTTGTATTTTGTAAAATCCGTCATTGAAGACGAATGTGTCAAAAAATTCGAACCAGATGACTTGCCTACAAAATTTTGAAATAAACAAGAAGAGATTTTACAACAATCGTCAAGACAACGAATTTAAAGTGGGTCTGTATCCAGAATGGGAGTAAACTCAATCGAAGTAAAATTGACAAAAGAGTTGGCCGGTTTAAAATTCTTAGAAAGATATCACCGTCGATTTTCGAAGTAGACCGTGGAAATAAGAAAAAGGAATCATACTTATTTCACATTAATAAATTAACTTTTAATGTACCTCAAAAAATGACATGATAACAGTTTTGATCTCGGTAATTGTATCATTATCTGGGCTCTGTTGTCGCGGGTTGATGCAAGCGGTGCAGAGACCACAGGCTCAGCGTACTATCGGTGATCATAGCTTGTTTTGTCAAGTTTTACCTTTAGCCCGTGTTTGGCAAGCTGGTTATTCCAGACCTCAAATTTTTTGGCTGCGTCTTGTTCCGAGGTTTTTCTGATGATGGTGTTTTTCTGACGGCATCTGAGAGTGTTTCAGAAATCATTTTTGGCGTCTTCAGATTTACCGGTCTGTGGTGCATATACAGAAAAAACAGAACCTGTTTTCCCATTTTGACTTTAATCAGCATTTCACCGTTGTCATCTTTCTTCTAATACAGTTGGTTCGCGGCATCTTATTCGGTATTATTCGATCAATATTATATATATATATTAGTTTGAGTGTGTTTGTTTGGTTTGTTTATAAGAAATGGTTAACTTGTTCATGTTTTTAAATATTTTTATCTATTGATGTTTTAATGATATAATTAATTATTGTTTTGCTATAATTTTTTACGAAACTTTTGACTTAAAATGTGAAAAAAGAAAATAGTCGAGTTTGAAAGAATCATTGGCTTCCGGTTTAATCATATTCGATTATTAGCACGAGCCCTCACCATGAGAAACATTGGTTTCAATAACCTTACTCTGTAAGTTACAATGTTATTTATTTATTTAATTTAATTTATTTATTTACAATGTTATTTAAGTTATTTAGTGCATTGATAATTTGATATTTTTTTGCTATTGACATACTTTTGGTGACATAATCACTGTTACATTTAATACCAACAGTCGATGCTGGTTTAAAAAAATTACACTTGCAAAATTAATTGGCCCTAAAGTTATATGTATTATACGTAATGTCAAAAAATTAAATGACATTTGAAGCGTATTTCTTTTACATCATAATGACTCACAAAGTTTAGACAAAATAGCAAGAACATGTTGTTAAGACAAAATATATGTAAATTATATTTCATATAATTATCTATCTATTTCTATTCTGTGCTTGTAAATTACGTTTCATTACTTTGGTATCATCTTATATATGAATGCAAATAGCACGTGGTCATATTTTATTATTGCACGTGGTAATATATTATTATTGTTGGCTTTGTAAACGATCCTGGAATTTAATTTTTCTATTTTAGGTTGGTTATTCATTTATAATTTCTGTAATATTTCATATTTTTTCAATTGATTTTATTTATGTTCTTTATTTACTCATTTGGATTTTCTATTTTAGATTAATAAATCAGGTTATTGGAAAGCAAACTTATAAATTAAATTTCAAAAAGAAGATGGCTTCAATAACCAGTAAGTTGTATTTTCATATTATTAAAAGAAATAATGACGAATTTAAATTAGCGGGCATATCGGAAAATAAAGAAACATGGTATGTCCTACCTGAAGAGATGAAAGATTTAAGTTTGCACGAAGCTCTATCTACGAAGCGAGCAATAATAAATACAATTAATTCTATCAAACCTATCAATGGTTATTGCAAAATTTGCATCAAACTCGACGATGAATTGAGAAAAGAATATTACGACAAAGACGAAAATCTATGTTTTTTAGATAATATGTTAGAAAGAAAAAATTATTGATAATAAACATAGAGATGAGCCAGATGACAATTTTTTAAATGAACGAATTAAGGAATTAGAAGCTAAGCTAAGTCTGAATGATAACTTTAAGCTGCAAGACGTTGAAAAAAAATTTATTCTGGGAAAAATTCAACAAAAAGCAAAACCCTACTGAATGGATAGAGAAATTTGAAAATGAATGTAGAAGGCATAAAATACTGAATCCTACTAATTTCATAGCAGCATTACGCTTCTTTTTATCTGGGTCACCGGAAGATTGATACGAATCAAATTTAAAAAAGATCGGCTTAACTAATTGGTCAGAATGGAGAAAGTCCTTTCTGACCATTTTTGCAGATAGAGGTTGGAAAAAAATAAGAACCGCATATAATTACAAATATTTAGGTGGTTCTTTAATGACTATGCCTTAGCGAAAGAAAACCTATGTTTAGAAATTGAAATGTCGAGAATAAACATGATCGTTATGGGCCTTCCTGTAGAAATACAAAACCAGCTTGATAGAGAAGAAATAACGACCATTGAGAAACTGTCCAAAGAACTAACAAAAATTGATGAATGTGTTTCTAACATCAAGCCAAAATATGACAATAAATTTTTAAGTAATGAAATATCATACAATACGGACGTCAAGACAAAGCAACTTTATCAACACAGAGATATGAAAATGTAGACAAAGAAATTTTGGTACCAAAATACAAAATAGTATCAAAGACACATAATACTCTAAATAAACAAAATCAAAGACATGAAAATAACATAAATAAAGAAAATTTCGTTAGACCAAATTTTATCAGGTCAGAGAAGAATATTAATACCACAGCAAATAAACCATGTTTTATGTGTGAAGAATTGGGCTGGAAAAATCGATACCATCCAACAAATGAATGTAGAAATAAGACTCTTTACTCATGAAAAAGAGAAATTAATATTCATGACACTAACTACCATACAGATGACGAAGCACATATGATGAAAATTGAAATTGACAAGAAATCTTTAAACTAGAAAGCCCGGGAAAATTGAATGCACTGATAATAGTAAACGTAATAATCGATAATAAATTAAAAGTTAAAGCGGTTTATGATAGTGGATCAAATATAAGTCTAATAAATAGGAAAATCATAGATATTTTAATACTAGGCTAAAAGTACTTTCAAAACCATCAGTGGGCTCAATTTTAGTTCGGCCCGGGCAAATATAGTTGTTAAGGTTGGTAATTTAACGGATAATTTAAATACATACGTAGTCAAAAATAATAATTTTTCCTATGACCTATTACTGGGTCTAGATGCAATAAAAAAGTTCAAACTAATTCAAGATGAAAATTTTAACATTCTACAAAGAATTAATAAAAACAAGATCATCAAAATAGAAGAAAGAGATAAGATGAATAACAATCACAACATGGTAAAATCAAATGAACTGACTGACAACCAATTTAATCTACAAAAGGCAGAAAAAAATAATTTAATTAAAATTTCAGAAGTCAATTTTAATGAAAATATGAATAAGACAATGTGTGAAAATTTAGACCACATTGAAGATGAAAATAGAAGAAAAGATATTTTAAATTTAATAAACAAGTACAAACATATGTTTGCAAAAGATAAATATGATGTGGGAAAAGTGAAGTCGAAAGAAGCAGAAATAAAATTAACCAGAGATGTAACAGCAAGACCATATAAATGTTCCATAGTTGATGAAGAGGAAATCAAAACTCAAGTCAAGAAGTTATTAGAAGCTGATTTAATTGAAGAATCGGAATCCCCTTATGCTTCGCCAGTAACTCTTGCTTTTAAAAAAGATGATGGTCGTCGGACAAGACTTTGCATTGATTTCAGACGATTAAATAAATTAGTAGTTCCTGAATGCTATCCATTCCCTACTATTAATGATGTCAAAGAAAAAGTACCAAATTGCAAATATTTCACTGTACTTGATATAAATTCTGCATTTTGGTGTATATTATTAAAAAAGGAAGATAGAGAAATGACTTCTTTTATAACTAAGTATGGAAAATTCATGTTTAAGATTTTACCCTTTGGTCTTAAAAATTCTCCAGCAATTTTTCAACGTATTCTATCCAATATCATAAGAAGAAATAATCTGGACAATTTTTGCATTAACTATATTGATGACATACTTATATTTTCACGCTCTTGGGAAGAACACATTATTCATATTGAAGAGACTCTACAAATTATCACAGAAGAAGGTTTTAAATTAAAATTAGAAAAATGTAAGTTCGCTGCTAAAACCATTAAATATGTTGGACATTTTATTCAAGAAAATAAAGTAGCACCAGCTCAAGAAAATTTAATCGCCATCAAGAATCTTAAGAGACCAACAGATAAAACAGGAGTTAGAAGTGTGTTAGGATCTATTAACTTCTACCTTAAATATATCGAAAATAGTGCTCAAAAATTTGAACCACTGCATAAGCTTTTGAAAAAAAATGTTAAGTTTCATTGGTCCCAGGATTGTGAAGATTCTTTCAATTTGATAAAAGAATATTTATGTTCTCAGCCAATCTTAGCCATTTACGATAAAGCCAAAGACACTTATATTGAAACTGATGCCAGTTATAAAGGAATGGGAGCTACTTTGAAAAAACTACATCCTGATGGTTTGTTACATCCTGTCGCATACTTATCAAGAAAATTATCAGAAAAAGAAAAGAAAATGGACATCATTCATCTAGAATGCAAAGCTATCAAAGACGCAATAAAATACTGGCAATATTATTTGATTGGTCGTGAATTTGTTGTTTGTAGTGACCACAAACCTCCTGAGAATCTAAAAACGAAAAGTAGAACAGATGAAATATTGGGCGATTTAGTGCACTATTTGTCTCAATTCAACTTTAAAATTATTTATAAGAAAGGAAAGGAAAATATAATGGCTGATTTACTTTCTCGATCACCAGTATTAGAATATTTTGAAAATGAGGATGCAGTCCAAGTTGTAAATTTAATTGAAAGACCTGAAATTCTTCAGGATCAAAATGATAACATGATTGAATTAAAGAGTGCCAAGAAAGATTGAAAAACGCCATGGTATTATTTTCAAAAAATTGAAGGACAAATCAAGGATATTTGTTTCTGATAAATTTGGTTTAAGAATAATAAAAAAGGTACATGAATATTATGGACATATTGGAGCTGGAAAAAAATAATACCATTTTATTATTTCAAAAACTTTGATCAACTAATTGAAGAATTTTGTAAAAGTTGCACTATATGCTTAGAGAACAAAACTAGAAGAAATAGAATCATCCGGTTAATGTCAAAACTAGGACCCGCGACAGAACCATTCCAAATTATGTCCATTGACACAGTTGGTGGTTTTGCCGGTAATATGTCACCAAAGAAATATATGCATATTTTGGTGGATCATTTTAGTAGATATGCTTGGATTTCCACTACAAAAAGTCAATGCGCAGCAGGTTTCATAAAGTTAATTGATCCGATTGCTAAGAAAAATAATATTAAAATACTTTTAGTCGACCAGTACACCGGAATTAATTCTACAGAACTAAAGCAGTATCTAAACAAGATGAATATTCAAATGGTTTTTACCTGCGTAGATTGCCCTCAATCAAATGGACTAAATGAAAGACTAAACCAAACACTTGTAAACAGAATAAGATGTAAACTTAACAGTGGAAAAAAACAGGCGTGGTCCGTTATTGCAGACAAATGTGTCAAAGAATACAATCGGAATACATAGTTCCATGAAATTTGAACCTGAATACTTATTATACGGCATAAAGTCAACTATCACTCCATATGACGTACCGGAAAGCGATTTAGCTGCAGATTAGAATACAAGCCGGTCGAAATTCTATGCAAAATTTTGAAAAAAACAAGGAAAGGGTTGACAAAAATCGTCAAGAGTACAAATTTGAAGGGGGCAATCAAGTCTATATCCAGAATGGGAGTAAACTTAATAGAGGTAAAATGGACTGAATAAGATTTGGTCCGTTTAAAATTCTTAGCAAGATTTCACCGTCGATCTTCGAAGTAGACTGCGGAAAGAAGAAGGAATTACATTTTTTTCACATTAATAAATTGTCACTTTATGTACCTCAAAAAGTGACTTGAGGGAGAGGGATGTAAATTATATTTCATATAATTATCTATCTATTTCTATTCTGTGCTTGTAAATTAGGTTTCATTACTTTGGTATCATCTTATATATAAATGCAAATAGCACGTGGTCATATTTTATTATTGCACGTGGTAATATATTATTATTGTTGGCTTTGTAAACGATCCTGGAATTTAATTTTTCTATTTTAGGTTGGTTATTCATTTATGCCTTGTGAGTGATGTTGGATCATCAAAGGCTAGGCCCACCGCTTATAACTGTGGTTGCGTAAGGAAGGGCGTCCTGCGTAAAAATTAGCCAAATAAATTACTTATGATGACAGAAGTGACAATGGTTTCATCATAGGTAGCCAAACGGCAACCCCCGATCTCGGGGGAAATGTCGTCTAAACGTGTGTTGTTGTTGTTGTATTCATTTATAATTTCTGTAATATTTCATATTGTTTCAATTTATTTTATTTATGTTCTTTATTCACTCATTTGGATTTCCTATTTTAGATTAATAAATCAGGTTATTGGAAAGCAAACTTATATATATATAAAAGCTATTAGTAATAACTTTGAACTAAATTGGTTTTAAATAATGAAATAAGGGGAAATATTCTTGGTTACAATTGAATAAATAACAAAGATGTAAAAAATTAAAATAAATTGTTAGAATTGAAATGAAGAACCATGAGTAAAATGGATTTGTTTTAAAATCGGGTATATTAGATTGAGATTATTATTATTTGAAAGAAAAGCTGTTAAATTTTATAGATACAAAATAATATTTAACCTCTATCTAAAAGTCAAACTGATCTCTTACAAATATGATTCTGAATAAGATAAAATAGATAAGTAACGTGTATATAAGCAAACATTACATGAATTGTTTTATTTTGAAAAATCGTTTAATGGTAGTTACATTTCTTTTACTTAAAACGTATGAAATCATAAAATAACAGGCATATGCTGAACTTGAACAACTTTTCTGTAAAATCTCTGCTAAAACAATCCATAAGTATTATAAAAAAAAGGCGCAATATGTGAAAAGAAAAAATTGCAAATAAAATGTGTAATGGTTACGCAGTGAGCGGTTGTTTCTGAATCAATGACCTTTTTTCAGTCGTTCTTTTATGATTGTCGCATGATCTTGCATACGTGCGGAATTAGTGCTATTGATCTATAATTATTACAGTCTTTTTGTCTCCCTTTTTCACCAGCATAACCAGAACTGACTTGCACCATTCTTCTGGCCACTTTCCCAAATTTCTTTCAGATTGTGTGAATATCTTTACACACGACGTCCTCCTGCTCTTATCAGTTCTATCGGAATACCATCTTTCCCTGTACTTTTGTTGTTCTTCATTTTACTCATTGCTCTTGTAATTTCTTTCCTCGTTTTTTTACTTTCTTCTTCATTAATTATTTTCTTCTTTTCAAAATTTCAAGCGTTTCTTTTTGGTATGGTTTCATGTTCTGTCTAAATTATTCATCCATCAATCCTTAACCTTGTACTTTCTGTTTAGGTGGTTCCGTTTTTATCCTTTAATAAGAAAGTTATTAAGCCAACGGGATTTTGGAAATTAAGACTAATAAAAAATTTTTGCATTACTTTTCAGACAGATTTACAAACCTCAACAAAAAACGCAGACCTGATAAAAAAAATGACGACTATTTAATGGACATAACAGAATAAACAAAAATAGACTCGTAAATGTTACATAAGTAAAAATTTGAGAAATTTAGAAGAAAAATTTAAAAAATAGGTATTCAATTAAATATTGGGGTTTTAAAGGATGCTACGAGTTTTCCTAAAAACAAAAATTTTTAATAATAATTAAAATTAATAAACAATAAATGTATCAAAAGTTTTAATGTTTCTCATTCAATATTTTGTTTTTTTTGTCAAAAAGCCAATATCATTAATTTCACATTAAATTTGAAAGTATTGTATTTATGAAGGTATTACAAAAATATCGTGAAAAAATATCAATGTGTTTCTTTTTAGTGGCCACAACCAAACTCTTGAGTTCCTTGGTGATACAATTTTACAGTTTATCACATCTGAATATCTGTTCAAGCATTTTCCAGATCATCATGAAGGGCATCTCACCGTTAGACTTTTTTTTATATCTATCTGTATCCAATATTTTATGTTACAAGTAAGGATTGTTAATTTCTTTTTTCATTGAATGTTTTTCCCATGATTTTTTAAAGTTTTTCATTTAAAAGATAACACTGAACCCAAAAAGTAACTATTTAAGTAACTAGTAAAAAAGCAAAGACTTGAAAAACGTATATTGGCAGGGTGGGGATCTAGGGAACCAGCCGTAAAAATTTTCGACCGGATAGGGCTTTTGGCAATTTACTGTAATTTCATTTAAATGGTTAACATTTTGCCTTACAAAATATATTACATGGAAAACGAGTTAAGCTAAACTAGACGATAAAATTGTTTTGCAACCATCTGGAAAAAAGTTTGCATTAATTATGATACCTCGGAAATACTTCTGATGGAATATAAGTTTTGATTAGTCCGGGGCATGACATACAACTGCATCCACACTGTCTTGCGTGCTTTTGAGCAGGCCCACCACTTATAACTGGTGGTTGTCGTCAGAATGAGTATCCGGATATAAAAGTTTTCCCAAAATTTATTCCATGCTATCACAAAAAAATTTAACGACCTCTAGTCCCCAGCAGGCCTTAAGTGGTCAAGGGGTGCCAAGAATTTCTGGGAAGTATGCAATAGCGGAGGAATGTTGCAGAAAAATTTAGAATGGCCCCTCTATGGTACTTAGACTTGGAATGTTTGATCACTGACTGGCCGCAGCATGGCAAAGGGGTTCCATTGAACCGTTCATCATATCAGGGTATACGTCTGTTAGAACACTCCCTGAAAATTGTAAAGTATAAAATTTATAAAGTCTTGATCCTAGTAGTAGTGGGATGTCACGCTGCATCAATATAGATGCCAAAAAGATGCCTTTTATTCCAGGCTGCACGTATGCGTGCTCGAACGGCAGCTCCAGAACATCCCTAGATATTGAAACGATGTGACTTTCTCTACCCTAATGGCTTCAAAAACATTGCTATTTCGTATTTGTTGTTGTGGATTGATGCAAGCAGGACAAACAAAATTAGACACTGTATTAAAGTACCAATTATTTTTGAACAACGTTGTGACACCACTGGTTACACTGCTGACAATTGTTACCTACACCAGCTTTACAAACTGAACAGGGTTCTCGTCTAGTAACTGTGGATTGGATGGGTTCACCAGTGTTCATTGCTTTGGTTTTGCTGATGTTGACTTTGAATCCATGATCGACGGGTCTGGTGTTCCAATCTTCAAACATCTGTGCTACATTCTGCTCAGACGTGGCTGTTAAAACGATATCATCAGCATATATTAAATTCCAAATGTCACCAGTGCGTATCGGTTTTGTGATTTCTTCCATCACAGTTATAAATAACAATGGACTGATGAGAATCGAGCCTTGGTGAACTCCAACGCCGATGTCAAATGCATCTGTGTTTCCAACCGTTGTGCTGACAAGAGTCTTAGTATTCGTATGCATTTCCATCACAAGTCGAACAAGATATTCTGGAATGAGTTGTCGACGTAGACTCCACCTGGTTGCTTCACGGGGAACTCGTTCAAATGCTTTTTCAAGGTCTACAAAAATGTGTGATAGTAGTTGATGCTTTGCGAGGTACTTATCTTTCAGTTGCCGAAGGATGTGAATTGCATCAATTGTTGAAACCAAATTGATAATTTCCGATTGTGATGCACGACATTAATTTTTTCTCAAAAATTTTCTGGACAATTTTCAGGGAGTGTTTGTTCTAACAGACGTATACCCCGATATGATGAACAGTTCAATGCATCACCTTTGCCTTTGGATAGCGGAACTGTGATGTTATAGTTCCATTCAGTCGGTATTGAGCAATTTCTCCACACTTCACAGCAAAGTTGTAGTAACATTTGGATACCTGCAGTACCAGATGCTTTGATAATGTCATTTGTGAGTCCAGAGGGCCCTGCTGCCTTTCCATCTTAAAAGCTTTCAGAGCTTCTGTAAGTTCCTCTGCAGTGATGTCTGGAATCGGATCTTCGATGGGTGGAGCGTCACAGTTGACATTAATGGGATTTGTTTCATTTAACAGACGGTTGAAGTATTCTCTCCACTGTATCTTGATTTCATCTTGTTCAAGAACCATCTCATTTTTGTCGTTTTTGATACATGATGCACCAACTATGTCTTTCTTTGTACGCTTTGCTTGTTTTGATATACGATACAGAGATCACCTTTGCTTTGCTTTGCTTTTGCTCTCTGCACTGATCTCTCCGAGCCAGTGCAACTTGACGTCTAGCATAGATGCTCTTCTCACGGAAAGTTTTACGGTCATCAACAGACTTTGATTTTTGCCATTGCTTGTATGTAGCTTTCTCTTCAGCTATTGCATTTTGTACACTTTCATCCCACCACCAAGTGTCTCGTTCATGCTGACGTTTTGTACCAGTTTTCTCACAAGCTTTAGTTGCTGCGTTCATCAAAACGGTTTTGTATGCACTCCAATCTGTACTGACTTGCGAATGGTGGTCTAACTGTGTTGCGACAATATGTTGAAATTTTTCTCGATGAATATTGCTTTTCAGCTTCCACGTTTTGATTCTCAGAGGCATTCGTTTAGACTTATGTTGTGACAGTTGGACAACCAGGTCTGCCACAATATATTGGGCGACACATGATTCGCCAGGTATAACTTTGACATTTTTGAACAGCCTGAGGTGTTGTTGCTTGACAGCGAAGAAGTCAATTTGCGTGGCTGAGGGTCCACATTTTGTATGTTATGAGATGTTCCAACCTCTTTCTAAAATATGTGTTCAGTAAACAAAACCCGTGACTTTCAGCAAATTTAAAGATGCAGTTGCCATCTTCATTCCATTCTCCATAGCCAAAACGCCTGGTACGTTGTCAATACCATCTGTTTTCTCTCCAGTGTGACCATTGAGATTGCCTCCAATCAGGATTTTCAGATTTTGGTATTGTTGAGATGGTATCAGAAAAGGCAGCCCAGAAGTCATTTTTTATCTCTTCTGATTCGCCTGTCCGTGATGCGTATGCAGGAAAAATAATCATTTCAATCGAGTCTCCTGAAGGCAACAGATGTCAATCCTTCTACGCTCGACCATTTCTGCGATTTCCATGCTGCTGCCAGTCAGTGATCCAACATTGACCGTTCCAAGTCTAAATACCATAGAGAAGCCATTCTGAATTTTTCTGTAACATTCCTCCGCTATTGCATTCTTCCCAGGGTTTCTTGGCACCCCTTGACCACTTAAAGCCTGCTGGGGACTAGAGGCCGTTGATTTTTTTTGTGATGGCATAGGAATAATTTGGGGAAACATCCAGACATCCATCCTGACGACAACCACCAACTGGTGCTTTTTCTCAAAAAGGCAGCATGGATGCAGTTTTATATAATAACCAGGACATTGATAAAATCTAATGAAGCAGTTTAAGATATTTAGGGTAAAAGAAGTTCATCGGAGTTCCAGTATCTAGTCCACAAGATTAGCAACGCTAAATATAAAAAGGGGAAATTTTTGTTGGCCCTCAAATCAAAGCTGTATTGCAGGATGAAGCGTTCGAAAAGTCTCGTTTCAAGATCTGTGCTGGAAGCATGTTGTCACTCAAATGGCTCTTTGAATATTTTCTGGGTAATCATATACATACAAAGAAACGTCTTCTTGATGCTTATCAAAAACTGAGATGCAATATGTCATTATTAGTTAACTTATTGTACTTCCATCTACATTTTTTTTTTCAAAAATCTTAGTATTATGAGTGTCGAATAGGGAGAACATCTCCACAAACATATTGAACGAAGAAATTGGGATGCAATATGTCATTTTTCCATCTAGAATTTTTTTTTCAAAAGTCTCGGTAATGTGATGTTCTACAAAGATATTAAACAAAGATAGGTAACGGAGCGGTGTTATCAAGGTTTCTGGAATGCTTGTATGTGTGTCTTCATTGCTGATAACACAGTCTAAAGGCATGACAGAAAGTCATCCGCTAAGCATTTTAGATGAAAATATGGTATGCAGACTGGTGTATGATTTTCGAAGTAAGGTTTGCTTGCACCCAGATTTTATTTGCTTAAATACAAGTTTTAATCTAGTGAATAAAAAATCTCAGAAGTAACGTGTTAGCAAAGATCGGAATACATGTTTAAAATCAGCACGAAAAATCAGTTCATAATCCTGTATCTACGTTTCCTATGCATTCGACAACAGTAAAATGAAAACCCAGACACGATGCCGAAACACAAAACTTAGTGAAGGTGAGATGAAATCATTCACAAAACACAAACTACCGCAAACGGTCTTGCTGTCGTAATCAGACAAGGCTGGCAAGCATGAGCCACAAAACCAACACCACAAACGAACTGGCTCTCGCAATCAGACAAGACTGGCAGAAACACCAGTGGCATCACAAACGGTTTGACTCTTGCACGAAACGCACGAGCCAAAGCACCAACAACTAATTTAAAAATTATTCAGTATCACCATTATTACTAATAACTTATCTCCACGTTAAAATTAGCTTAAACTTCAAAACTTATCTGGTGATACATTAACTAAATTTATCATAAATGAATAATCAATTCACACTTCTAATTCTAATTTACGTTTCATAAAGAAAAAAAATCTTGCAATGCTTTTTTGCATTTTTGCATCGCCAACAGAATTTCTTCCACAAAGCAGCATGTTTCAACATGTTTATATCGATTTAGTTGGACCTATATCATCATCGAATGGACACAAACATTTCACCAGGTGGCCAGTAGGATCACCCATCAAAAATACTTTAACTAAAACAATAGTATATGTTTATATAATGTTGTTTATTGTATATGTTTATATAATATTGTTTATTGTATATACACTGTAATAAAAACCATTACAATCACTTTCAAACTTAAATAACAAATATTGATTTTGTTGGTCTTTCGTTGCAAAAAAAAATTAATTTTCGTGAAAGTTTGGTCATAACAAAAAACCTAAAAAAAAACTTAAAATCCTCAATTTTAACCACTACTGTATTATTCATTCCCTAATTTTCAAACTGTTGTGTTTCGTTGTTTTGAAGAGTTGAAACACAAACTAAATAGAAAACAATAAGCGTAATGTACGTATACTAATTTATTACGTAAAATAAATATAACGTTCTATAACCAAACGAATTGAACGAACTAAAAAACATGTCACAGTAAGTCACATTGTACATTAATTATCGCCCAAAAACAAATAGAATAAATAGTGATGTGCCCTGCACATAACACAAACAATATTCAAATAGTTATTATAATGCCATGAGCATAAAAGTTTATTACCTTAATAAATTTTTTATAATTTTTAGCTATTGAGAAGTAGTCTGGTAAACAACAAAACACAAGCAATTATTTGTGATGACTTGGGAATGACTGAGTACGTCATCAATAATGACCCGAAGGTAACTGAATAATTGGAACGTTAAGGGTTTTTTTATAAATGTTTTTTTTAATTTAACATTGAAACATCAACAAAATCTTCTACACAAATTAATTTGCGAAAGGTAAGAGAACGAATGGAGAATGAAAAAAATAAAGTGAAAGACAAGGCTGATATCCTGGAAGCTTTTATAGGTGCCCTCTATGTAGATCAGGGTTTAGATCCGTGCATTGTCTTTTGTCAAGTTTGCTTTTATCCTAGACTAAAAGTAACTTTTTTTCTATTGTTCAATAATTTTTAAAATAAATATTTTTTGTTACGTTTTCATTAAATTTGTATTTTATCATCTTATTGGTAAATACCATAAATAATTATTTTATGATTTATTTTCATTTTACTGATTTTGATTCCCTATGCATTTAGTTGTTAAATGGTTAATAGTCGGATGAAAATTATCTGGCTATTTTAATATTTTAAAATTATTTTAAAAAAATTTTTTATTTCACATACAAAAAATTTAATCATTTTTGCTGACGTTTTCATTAATTTTTTATTTTATCGTCTCATTGGTAAATACCATAAATAATTATTTTTTGATTTATTTTGATTTGACTGATTTTGATTTTCTCTGTATTTTGTTGTTAGATAGTTAATAGTCGGATGAAAATTATCTATCTGGCTCAGGCTCCTTAAATCCGACTCCGGGTTCTGATACCAAAAAAAATTTTCAATTTTTACATTATAATTTTACCGTATTATCCCTTCTAGATGAAAAATACTTTAAAAAACATTTTAATTTATTCAATTGTTTTTCCTAGTATTAAAATATTTCTGTTTTCACTCTTAGAATCTGAAAAAATTATTTTGTTTCAATATGTTATATTTATATAATTATCCGCATTTATTTTTAATATTAAAAATAATTGCATATTGCCACACATATTTTTGTTTAAAAAAAATCATGATCTTAAATAAACGTTTCGGAAAAAAATTTTTTTTTATTAGTAAGATTAGTTGGATAAGAAAATCCGACTTAGGCTAGTCAAAAATTCTAACTCCGTCAAAAATCTCTTATTCCGACCAACTCCGTCATGGTTTAATTTGAATGAAAGCAATCACTTGACATTCGAATTAAAAACTTTTTGTTTTCAATTTGCTTTTTTAGTTTATAGTTTTTTAGATGATTGCCTAAAATGGCATTAACGATTTGAGGAGCGTTTAAATTTTTGTGGAAATTTCAAAGGCTTTTTGGAACCAAAATAACATCCACATTTATAAATAATAATCGAACTTTATTTACTTCAGTTTAATTAAATTAAAAGTTGGAACTCTGTTACTATGAATGTAAACAATGGCGGATCTAAGGGGACCGGGCAGCAAAATTTTTAAATCGTGGCCAATCTAAATTTTAAACATTTCCAAACTTTTAATCCCCTCCGTCAAACTTGCCTAGATCCGCCACTGTATGTTAAACTTATTTCACACCATTTCATTGCTTTTATGAAAAATCCCTTTTATTGTTTGCAGGAATTTATTATGAATCAAGAATGGAATGATGCCAAGTCACAGCTCCAACAATGTTGTTTGACCCTTCGTGATCCGTCGGACGGAGAACCAGACATTCCTATTTACAAGTTTGTTTATTCCATTACAATTTATTCTAATAATTGTAAAAATGTAAGTAATAATTGAGATCTGTTACGTTCATTTTAAAGTCGCATATCAAGTGTTTGATTTTTTCGCTGCAATACCTGTTTCGTGAAACTTTCATAGTAAACCGTTTTTTATGCTATTTTTTATTTTTTCTATGATGTAATGAACTTGCGATGTAAGAAAGCTGTTTTTGTTTTAAATTATTTTGTTTTTTTTATTTATATGAGCCAGAGCAAACAGTTTTAAGGTTTAATGCTTTGATGATCCCATGTCTTTAATTATAATATTTTTAAAAGAAAGTGAAGAACAGGTTACTTCAGCATTTTGAAATAAATTTGGTAGTTTTTTTAATATAAATAATAATGTGGGCGGAGTGATGAGTAATAATTAAAACCCTTACAATTACGTGAAGGAATCTCCGCTTTGTGGGAAACATCGTTAAGCATTAATTTTTATACGCTGTTTGTGTTGTTGATATTTATGAATTTTGAAGTGTAATACAAATTTTTAAGGCCATTAGCACAGTTGAATAATAATACAAATTTTTTTTCATTTTTTTGGCATCTGAAAGAATTACGATTTTCAAAGTTGTCATGGTTTCATATTATAAAATTTAAATGCTGATTCTTACTGGAAATCGAACTCGAACTGTTAACACTCACAGTAACTAACAGTAATAATAAGAGAGAAACACCCTATGACTATCTTTCATTTAATTACTTTGAAATTACTAGACATACATACATGTGTGATACATACATACCTGTGCATGTGTGATGCAGGTATGTATGTATATTCACATATATGTATATACGTATATATATGTATGTGAATATACATACATACCTGCATGTTTTTATTATATACGTATGTTTTAATATGTTTAATTTCACGTGTATGTTTGTAAATGATAAAATTAAAACCTGAAAATACCGATAACAACGCTTCAGGCGAATGTTGATGTAAATGATGCGGGCAGTTGATGTTTGGAAAATTTTTGATATGGCAATCTTATTTATATCTTTACTTCGAAATTACCAGACATTAACGCGTATGTGTGATGAATGCATGTATTTTTATGATCTAATACATGCATTCGTACTTTTTAATTGAAATTTTTACAGGATGATACAAATATAAAACCACACCATATATGCATTGTTTTTTTTTTTAAATTTTTTTTTGAAACAGTCTATTCATTATTGAAACAGTGGTATTCATGTGTACTTACACATGAATACCACCAGATGGCAAAACAAAGAATCATATAAATTACTTTACGATGCCACAAAGATGGAAAAGATCTGTGAAGAATTGGAAAACACATCCAGGTGCAGATTGATAACCTGCTCGTAGCTACTCTCAAGTTCAAAGTCAAGAAAAAGACAAAAACGCAACCGGTTCAACGACAGGTTAGAGGACTTCAAAGATAAAAACGCAAGTACGAAAAAAGATTTGAAGAATTAAATTAAAATTGAAGACGAAAACACTCCAGAGACATTTTGCCAAAATACACTTGAAACTACGGCGGAGGAAAGGAAAGAAAAGCAGAATAACCTGAAACGATAGGAGCTGAAAGCTGATGTACAAAAAAATTACGGAACGACAAACAAAATCAAATCGAGAACATATGTAAAGAAGTAGACGTCGCAAACTTCCATGTTTGACATATTGAAGAAATGTTATTTAAAGAAGAACCAGAGTTAAAGCCTAATATATACTTCCGATACGTTAATGATATTGTTGTAACTTGACCTTGGTTTGATCAATTTCCTTCTTTGCGTTGATCTTCTGATTCTTAATAGGAGGCTAGCCAATCCAGATGTACGAGGTTTACCTAGTTCTCGGACCCGATATACCACGTCGTTGATCCGGGTGATGACTTAGCACAGCCCTTCCCAATCCTTCCACTCATCTTCCTTCAATTTCAAGGCGTTCTTCAATTTCATCTTGCAGTTCATTTAATCTATCTCGACTTTCATCTTCAAACTTTTCTAACCATGTGGTGAAGTTATCTTAGGACTGTTTCTCTTTTTTTTCCGTCTTTACTTGAACTCTCTGAGCATCTGCTTCACTCTTATGTCATTCTCATCTTTCCGTTCTTTCATCTCATCTGTATGCTTCTGTTTCGGTTTTTCGATTTCTTTAAGTTTAATTTTTTTACCTTTCCTCTTGAGAATATTTCCGTTTGTTGTTACTTCATTCAGATCTATTTCAAGTCTGTCCAATCTATCTTTGTTGATCGATATTTGCCGTCATTTCAGCGTTTTGTTGTTTCATTTCAGCCTTTATTTTCAGGAATTGTTTTTCCACTCGGATTGCTATGCGGTCTTCATTAGCCTTCAATTCCGCGAACTGCTTTTCTGCTAGACGGTCGGTATAAGCCATCACTTCCGCGAAGATCTGTATGACTTGTTGCATGCTTAACGCGGACGAATTCCTGTTGTTCGTTTTACTAGAATTTGATCCTTGTTCGTTTTTATCTGTTGTCTGTTGAGTGCATCATAAACGGTTGATTCGATCAGTCTTTGTAACTCCTTTCTTCAGACTAATTGAGTTTCTCTAGCACTGACATTATTTACTGTATATCAAAAATCCTACTTCTGACACCAGTGTTGTAACCTCTTTGACCTCTTAACCACCGACCCCGATGTTATAGCTTCAATACTCGCTATATCTCCAACACCGTATTGTAGCTTCCAACGATAGTCAAGAGTTTGTTTATTCGTAGGTTCAAGATTTTCAATAGATGAACACAACTACTTCATACGCAACTTTTTTGGACGTTGATTTGAATACCAGCAGTAATAGAAACACTTGCCATCTAAGGAATATATTTTTAACGGTAATTTCAGTTCTATTCGTCCCAAACAGAGTTCGTTGCAACATCTGCATAGATTGGAGCCAATCTGTCTAAATGAACAATTTTGATTATTGCCCGCCGCCTCCGATGTTTTTGAATTTGGTAGACGATGTCATTCTATTGTTATGATCTGATAAGGTCCTTCCCAATCACGTTGAAGCTTTGGAGATCGTTCTTTTTTTGGTGAGGGCTATACAGCCATACCAAATCGTTGGCGTTAAATCCAGCTGTGTTTCTCTTTTGATCGTATCGTGTCTTGGCTGTTTCATTTTTCTTTTTTTATTGTGGTACTAGGAATAAATATAGATCATGCTTCTTTTGATATCCATATCACATTCACAACCTAAGGTAATCAGAGGTAATCGCGTGTATTTGTGGATGCAGTTTAACCGCTTACGGGGATTGTCCACATAATCTGTTATTGATTTTGGGTCTCCATGTGATACGCCATATTTTTTTTTATATCAGCTGGGGTTCCTATTGTACTTCAATAAAGAATCTTTGAGCGAGTCTCCCTACAACCAGAATGTAACGGTTTCCATCATTTGATTCAGGATATGGTCCAGCAATGTCGATAACAATTCTTTCGAAGAATTCTTTTCACCGCTGCGTACGTTCTACATTTTCAACACCAACTTTAATCTTCTCGAGCGGTAACCCAGTAGAAATTCTCACGTATTCTCTCAATTAACTCCAAGATCTTACTCCTGATGAACCACCATGCATTTCTTTAAAAATTTCTGCAATTTTATTCCTAGGTACCACAATCTGCATGCGATGTTTCGATCCATCTGTTGATTCCAATTTTCTTTTAAGCAACCCATCTTCCAAATGCAAGGATGTTTTTCTTTTTAGAATATGCATCTTTCGCCATATCATGCTTCTTTTGCTATTCATATCACATTTACAACCTGAGGTAATCAGATTTCCGAGATAATTGAAGCTGTTGACTAGTTTCACCTGTTTACTATTTATGATTATGGAGCAGATCGGGGCGGTTTTACTTTTACTGATAACTATGCACTTTTTTATGTTTTGATTTGCAAGCCTTTCTTTTCACTTTCAAAAACCAGTTTGGAAACAATTGTTTGCAGTTTTTCCATTGAACCGGCTACAAGAGCTGTATCACCAGGATACCTTACATTGGTAATATTTACGCCACAAATGGATATTCCAGGTAGATCTTTTATTTTTCTCATGATGATATTACTAGAGTTTATACAGCCTTGCTTAACACCTTTTTAACAACTGGTCACCTTTTTAACAACTTTCATCGCTACTTTTTGTTCCAGGTTTTTGATAACTCTCGTGTCTTTTCTATCAATGTCCAAATTTTTCAATATTTCCATAAGCTTCACGAAGGCATTTGAAATTTCAGATCTGATTTTGCTTTGTACTCTCATCATCATAATTCTCGAGAGACTTGGTAAGCCTTTTGCTGTAGAAGTCTCAATAATATATCTCGTAAAGTCACGACTTGCTGGTTGAACAACTTTCCTAAAACAATTATATCGTCTACGTAGGCAAGACATGTTTTCCATGTTAGAACTCGTAATACACATTAGTCGTACAAACGAAGCTGCACAGTTCAAACGGCATTACAGCGTCATAAGCCTGAATGCTGTTTTTCACGGTCGTTTTTCTCGATCTCTACTTGCCAATATCTGCTTTTCAAGTTAGCATGGAGAACCAGTGTAAACCGAACAACGTATCTATAATGTCATCTATTCTCGGTATTCTACTATCATTTTTTTGTCACTTCGTTTAGGTTTCTGTAATCCACACAAAAGCGGGTGTTGCCGTCTTTTTTCTTTACTAGGTCAACTGGTGATTCCAAGGACTAGTTGTCAGTTTGATGACACCGTGGTTTAGCATTATAGTTATCATCTCGTTTACCTCTTCTTGTTTTTCTGGTAGAAGACGGCAGGGTTCTTGTCTGATTGGCTTCGAGTCCTTAGTATCGATTCTATGAATATCAAGGCCCGTTTTTCCTTGATTATCGTCTCCGGTTGAAAATACATCTGCAAAATCCGCTATCGATCTCCTTGTTGCAAATTGAGTTCACATAATAGACTTTTATAAATAACTTTTCATGATTATTCTTTATTATTCTTTTCGACCAGCCGACCACTATTCTGATGTTGAATATCCAAAGATTTCACGATATTTACAGATTGACAAAAACTTGTTTCTTGGTCATTTTGAATTCTGCCACATTTAACATCCGATCTGGAACAGAGCCGTTTTTTTTTGTTTTTACGAGACTCTTTGCAATAACAATGTTGTCGATTTTCATCGTCTTCGTTAGCTCAACCAGGTAGAATTGGTGGTCCCCAATATCGCCATAAATTTTCTCCTATATGATGTTCCCTGGTGATTTAGGTACTTCAATGTCACTGTCGATCGTTATACGAATACATTTCACTATCTCCGTATTTCTCCATTTAGGACGCGTTTTTCTAAATCAATTTTAAAACCACGTTTTTTTAGATAATCAGCGCCTATTATGCATTCGTCGGTGATAACTGCTTGTCAGGGTTTTAGCTGCGACCGGGAAAATTAACATGCAAAGGGTATGAATACATTATGATAGCAGTGATAGACGAATGCCAATGAAGCACGCAAAAATAGCAATCAATCCGCGGTGTGTAACAGAATTGTTTAAATAAACAGACCCGGAAAGTTTGAAAGGAGAACAAGCGATAATTCTGTTGGTGTTGGTGGAAGTTGGTCGGTCGTAGTTAGCGGTAGTTAAAATTCTCGAGGTTACGTCGGTTGGTAGAAACAGTTACGTCGGTGGTTGGTACAGTTGGTAGAAGCAGTTACGTCGGTGGTTGGCACAGCTGGTAGAAGCAGTTACGTCGGTGGTTGGTACAGTTGGTGGAAGCAATTACGTCGGTGGTTGGTATAGTTGGTAAAAGTGGTTAGGTTGGTGGTTAATAAATTTCACAGTAAACCCTGATACCGAAACGACACGTCAATTCAGCAGACGTGATTTGACAACGCGTTCAACAACCTACCCGTCACTTCAGCAGACGTGAAGGGACACTACACTCAACAGACGACGTGTCAATTCAGCAAACGTGATTTGACAACGCGTTCAACAATCTACCCGTCACTTCAGCAGACGTGAAGTGACACTACGTCAATTCAGCAAACTTGAATCGACAACACGTTCAACAATCTACACACCAATTCAGCAAACGTGAATTGACAGTGTGCTCAACAAACGACACGGCATTTCAGCAGCGGTGAAGTGACAACACGACGGCAGTCAACGAAGCCTCCGCCAGAAGTTTCACTGACAACGTGACAGCCGGTGTCCACATGCACAGTCATTGCTACATTTGACGAAAACTTATAATTTTTATTGCTGGGAACTGTCGGTGAACCCTTACAACTGCTATTAAGAATGTGCCCTCAATGCTAAATTGCCTAGTTGAACAGTATAAGAAATTTTTCTGTAGACGGGCGCTATTTCTTTTTTAGTTGTTCGAAGAATATATTTATGAAAATGTTCTCATTATAGGTTGGGCACCAGATCGAATGTTAATATTGACCTCGTTGCTCCGGTGTCGATTGTAATTGAATGAATATTCTTGTGAACCAACTTAGCCATCCAAACAAAAGTCTTTGACTGTGTCTTGACTTCGATGCAGTCTTAATCGCGTTATTTACAATCTTGTCATAGATGTCTTTCTTCTCCACAATTTCAGCATTTTGGCGCACCATAATCCTGTCCCTTCTGTTCTAGAATCATCCTTTGACACGAACATTCTTCACTTTGCTTTGCTAACTCGTTTGTTAGACTGTAAGCAACGGTTGCGTTTGTCCGCTAGTATGAGATTTGTCTAAGATTTTCAAATCTCGAACAGCCTTTACAAACGTTTCTAATGCAGTTTCTTCTTTGTGTTGTGGATCGTACGTATGACAGCAGAGTCAACCGTTCAATGTCCTGTGCCATAACTGGCACCGAGTTGTTTACATTTTGAACATTATTAATCAATCATCCAAATTAACAGTACCGGAGCAATGTTTGCTTCATGTGCTCTTCACCGTAACATAAATTCAACGCATTAATAGTTGGAATGGTTCTTGATTGGAATCGTTTAGAGAACTTCTGCCGCTTCTACCACAAGCGCCGTTGTCTTTCATTCCAGCCATAATTCATTGCTACCGCTTCAAACTGGATTTTATAAGTGTTCAAAGAAGTTTCTCCGTCGAATGCTGGCGCTTTCAATGTCTTTGCGGTCACGTGGCTTACAGGTGTGGAGTTTTTTAGTTATTTTCAGTTCTGGTTTAAGTTTAGCAAGATAATTTCTGTTCAAACCCTTGATCAAATTTTTGTTCAATTTGTTCAATTTTTTATCTTCCTTCCTCATCATCTAATTTTCTATTTATGCTATGATTACGGCCGATTTATGTTCAGCTTTGACATAAAATTGTTTTCTGAGTTCTCTCAACTGTTGTATCATTTTAGCATCAATCACGGCTGTTGTCCGATTTTTGCGTCAATTTGTCCTCACGTCTGTTTTATTTCTGCCGGTTCAATTTTTTATTTGTTTAAATTTTGTTGACTGTTGTTCAATTTTTGTTTATTGTTGTTCAATTTTTGTTTATTGTTGTTCAATTTTTGTTTAATGTTCAATTTTTGTTTATTGTTGTTCAATTTTTGTTTAATGTTCAATTTTTGTGAGTTGTTGTTTTATTTCCGATGATATCGTTTGAAGTAGAGCCATCAATTCGATGTTTGCCCTAGCTTCCATAACTGCATTCGATTCGACATCCTGGATCGTCGAACTCGAATTTATCTGGATTCTTATTCCTGTTAACAAGGACTTCCGCTAGGCGTGCTATCAAAGCTCCTCTATTTCCATTTGTAGCAAGATTTTGTTTTCGTAACTTTTCTTTGAGTTCCACCAATTAAATTGATGTACTTTTGTCATGTTGTTTTTACAAAATAACTTGTCGACTAAAAAAAAATAAAATTTTAACCACGATTATCACCTATAATCCACCTAATATCCAACCAGACACCCATGTTATAACGACGACGACGACGAGTTCGTTTAATCCCAGTAAAAAATAATGACACGAAATAACTTCCAAAATATCGATTTATTTATTTACAAAAATTAATTAATTATTTTGTCAATAATCAACGTCAAATAATTTTACTAATAAATGTTAATATTTTCCAGTTATCAAATTAACGTTCAGAATTAACGTTTTCCGGATAACAATTCACAAACGTTTATCGCACAAACAATAAACACACAACGCAGTCTAACATCAAATTGACACTAACAATCAATGGCTTACTAAAACCAATTATTCAACAACAACCCTTTCAATATCTCGCATGCCTTGTTATACCCATTTGCCCAACGCTTCTCGAACGTCCTAGATATCTAGTTGTCGGAAGGTTCTAGTTCATCCTCGAACGGTGACAATTTGTGACGGTTATAACAGTATTAAACTACGAATATACTACTCCAACCAAAGAACGCTATTTCTCATTCGTATACCAGTAAGCTAAAATTGATAAATGGATAATAACCATCTAATATTTTCGTTCAAATGTATTGTTGGTGAGTGTGGACAGCATAATTCTAAATACACGTACAAGCAGGTGCTATAAAAAACAAGACGACTTATGTTGCAGACTGTTTAAATATAAAAAAGTGTGCACATAAATTAAAAATTATTCGTGAACATTATGGGTTATGTGTTATATCTATATTGCTTTACTCAAAGGTCACTATTTCTGTAAGTTATTGTTAGAGTGTTAGTTGTTTGAATTCACTAGTAAAAATAGAAATAAAAATAATTTAAATTTAATGGTATAAAACTACTACAACTTTGATTGAAAAAATAATTTTTGTGTTTCAACCAAATTTGATAAAAATCTAGAAATACTAATTGGAAAACAAGAAAATAATTGGACAATATATCGACGAAGTAATATAATAGATATTTTTAAACACTTTTTATCAATAACTAGTTAACTTGTAAAAATTTATATTTTCAAATAAATAAAAATCAAATTTTTTCTTTTCTTCAAAAGATTTGATAGAATTTTATCTATTTATAAGTAATATTTATAACATATTTTTGCCAATTATTTTTATTAAGATTTACTTTTTAATACTTATATCCAAATTAACCTGTTTTTTAGCAAGTTTCATCTGGAAACAAGTTATATCTCAGCATTTATTAATTTTGTAAACAATTTTGTACAACAACGTATTCATTCAAAACTTGAGGAATGAACATGTCATGATCTGAGCCCTTTAATATTGAAAATAGTGGTTTTAATTACGTTTGAATTAAACATAAAAATTTTAATTGTAAATTTAAAGTTGAAGAATCAAAGTTATGATAAAGTTTATGAATTGTAAAATTAATAACATTTAAAATGAAGAGAGATTAAGTAAATAAATGCTTATGTTCAATTTTAATTTGTGCAACATTGTTTCTACATTTACTTAATTTTAATTTTTTCAACGCCTCCAACTGTTGTTTTTTAATTAGACCAAGATTTCAAAAATGTTTTAGATATTGTTTTTGTTGTTAATTGTATTAGAGTGTTGCAATGTACGGGCCCCACAAATACTCGGAAGTACCATGTAGCCGTTTATTTCAGAGGAGAAAGGTTAGCAACAGGTGTAGGTCACAGCATCCAACAAGGAGAGATGGAAGCAGCCACAAACGCTCTTAAAGATAAATCAGGTTAGCAACCTTAAGCAATCTTAAGCACTTTTTGTTTTATGTTTGACTTCTTGCATTTATCTCGTGAACAGTGAATTTTTTATGATTTTTAACGCCACGCATCAAGTTTACAATTTACTGTTTATCACTGTTAAGTCTTCAAGTTAGTAATTATTTTGAAATGATAATTCATAATTTTATATAATAAAAATTCAGAAGTTGTCGACCGCCAAAAAATGGTAGTGGTCTTTTCTACAACTAAAATCTTGAAATTTCTCTAATTCAATGAAAGTGTCGATAACAGATGTTTTTTAACATCCTTGACACGGCTGTCATTGTTGTTTCATGGTCTGGATATGGAATTCCTGATTTGAACAAATCATCTAAAGCGAAACATCTCGCCAATTCATCGCGAATGTCAAGGAATGTTTTGTCAAGTCACTAATTTGGAAACGTTTGAACAATTCTTTTCGGCTTTGAAAGCCAATCATAGAACAAATTTCTAGAGCTTGCATGCGATTTGTTTGACATTTCATTCAAAAAATAAACAGAATACAAAAATAAGAACTGTTTAAGAACTACGACGCAATAACTGAAAAGAACAATGATAAAGAGCACAAGGAAAAATAAGATGTTAATCGTGTTTATTCATTAAAATGTTTTGACAAAAATTCATGCGTTACGTTAGGATTTTTATAAATATGGCTTTCTTGAATTTTGTAGATTTTTTTTTCAAATGTTCAGTTTATTATTCTTAAAAAATGAATAATAATTTTAATTGATTAATATTTATTCACATTTGTATTGTAACTATGCAGATATGTTTCCTCACTTACTTCAAACCAAACAATATCTGGATTGGAGATTTGGACGATGTTTCAGAAATCAAAATTATACTAAAGCATCGACAATCGATGAAAATGCCGAGAACAAGAAAATTGAAAGCCCAAAGGGTTGCTAAACCGTCTTGTGTAGAATAATTTAAACAAATAACTGTGCATATCAACAAAGTTATAATATACAAGTTTTGTGGTTATTATAATTGGCGATCCTGGATTCTATATGAAATTTCTAAAATTCTTTTATTTAACCTATAAAACTTATAAATTTTATATTTTGAAAACGTACGAAATTTTATCTTTAAGTAAACATATTGGTTTTAATTACGCCATTTTATTTTATTGACAACCAAGTTAACTTTTTTTTAATGTTCACGTTACTGATGTATTTATAAATTAATCTAAAAAAATTTTTCGATTTATTGAATCAAGAGTTTTTTTTTTATTTTTTACCAAAAGGACGTTTATTTGACAGTAATGATTTCAATTCAATAAACATTTTTTAAAATTTCAAAAAAGTTCTAAATAAATCATGTATTTTTATTTATGAATTATATATATACATATATAAATTATATATATTAAAAAATGAATAAATATTTATTATTGAACTCAAAAAATATAAAAATTGTATTATTTGACGAATGTTCATGGAAACTAAAGAATAAGACCAGACTTTAAAGCTTTTTTGTACGCAAGTGTCTTCGACGGCTGGTATAATTCTAGGTGTATATGCGTGAATATAATAATACTAGATGGACTTCGTATCACCTCAAAAATGAATATCAAGATAAATCACTAAGTTCATTAGTATTATACGTTTTTCAAAATGAATGAAAATTATATAAATACTTTATTTCTATTTGTGGTCGGTTTTATCATTGTATGTTATTGAAAACACATGCTGTACCTTTAAATGTTTGAAAAAGAAATATTGTGATTCTTCAAATAACTCAAAAGTTTTAATACTTATGATTAATTAATATTAATGCTTATTAATATTAATGCTTATGATTAATTAATATTAATACTAATTTTCAATAAATTTATCACAATGACATTCAATTAAGTGACATAAAAAAATTGAAATTGTTAGAACTTAGAAAATGTTGTACCTTTGAATGTTTGAAACGAAATGTCATGTTTCTTCACTTTAGCCATGAATGCAAACAATGGTTTAAGAGGAGAAAGTAAAAATAAAAATTTAATTTTTTAATTTTTAAACTTAAATTCACCGTTGTGAATGCAAACAACAGAATCAAAATTAGCTGGCTTATAATTTTTTTTAATTTAATCTAATTTAATTTAATCAAAACAAATTGTTCTAATATAATTGAAATATTATTAATATGTATTTGATTGAAAATTGTAATAACATCGCGTCAATGTCACAAAATATACTAGCTGACTTGAGATGTTTATTAACGTACGCAGAATATGTATCAAAATAACATCACAAAATATATTGGCTAACTTAAGATATTTATTAAAGTACGCGATGTTTGGCTGACTTTTCACAGATGCAGTAATTTGTCTTTCTGTGAAAAGTCAGCCAAATATCGCATATGTTAATAAAGATCTCAAGTCAGCCACTATATTTTGTGATAATGTCGCGATCTATCGCATTATTTTATTACAATTGGTTTTATAATACTTATTAATAGTTATATTTCTATTAGCCTATATTAGAACTATTTGTATCGATTAAATTAAGAGAATAGTGTGTTTGTGAAAAGTCAACCAAATACCGTGTACGTCAATAAATATCTCAAGACAGCCGCCATATTTTGAGATATTATCGCAATGTACCACATCAAATATATATTCTGAATAATTATTTACTTATATTATAATAAAATTATATAAAATATTTTCGCAATGTACTGCATTATTTTAATACAATATTTATTCAAATTCATATTATTGTTATAACCGTGCTACCGAACGCACTAGATTCTAGCGTATTCTAGAATGTTCTAGTGACTGGAGCATTCTAGAGTATACTAGAATCGGACCATCTAGAAGAATCTAGAAACGACGCTTGCGAAGAGTATATAAGCGCACGTCGCAAGAAGATTAGCGGTTAGTGAAATCCGTGATTAGTGAAATCTGTGATTAGTGAAATCCGTGATTAGTGAAATTCGTAATTTTGTAAATAGCGATTCGGTGAATTATTTAAAGCGATATTTGATTTGTTTGTTGACGTTGTCATAGCGATAGATTTGAACAATTTAAAAGTTAATGTTGCGTTAATTTGAATTTGCTAGAAATAAACAATTAGTTGATTTCTTCTGTAAATAAAGTTTAATAACTAATAACTGTTTGGAGTATTTTATTCAATCGAAGATTTGAACCCGTCGCGTCGTAAATCGGTTACGACAGCGAGTATTATAACATTATAATTTCTGTGAAGTCAACCAAATACTTCGTACGGTAATAAACACCTCAATTCATCCACTATATATTTTGTGATAATGTCGCAATGTACCACATTTCAATACAATTTTCGATCATAAACATAATATGAATAACTAGTCAATTATATTACGATAAGCATTGTTGATTAAATTAAAAAAATTGCGATTTCGTGAAAATTCAGCCAAATACAGTCGTACTTTAATAAACATCCCAAGTCAGCTACTATTATGAGACATAGTCGCAATGTACCGCATTATTTGGATACAATTTTTGATACATATTAGGAATAACATAACATACTATAACATGTAGTGTTTATTAAGTTAAGAAAAATTGTGTTTCTGCAACCTTCCCAAAGATTACAAATACAGCATAAATATATGATAATTAAAATAACATATAGCGCTATTTTGTCATTCCCATAGCTATAACAATCAACTTTCGAAAGAACATCAAAAGAAGTGATATCGAAAATAAAAAAGAAACAGTTACACAATATTCTGAAGCTTCTGACATCAGATCAGTTATTTTGCCTACCGATAATTACATTAGCGATCGCATGTTTATTCTTCCTACAGATGGTTACGACTGCGATACAGGTGTTAATTGCAATGCACAGGTTAATTGCGATGCACGTGACAACTGTGATGACAACAATACACGTGTTGACGTGAAGAAAGGAAATTGACATCGTAATGGTGAAGATGATAACGAAAATGACTATGATGGTTTTGAAACTATTAGAGAAGTTGGCAGTGAAAAGGACATTGAAACTTTTGATATGCAGTAGGACTACCACTTGGATCTTACTGCCAGCAACTCGTCTGCTTTTTTTTCTAACAGCGACAACAATCATTTAAATGGTAACGATGTACGTGATGTTAACGTTGATGCGAATGTTTATTCAGGACAGAAATTGGTGACAGACGATGATTCAAGTTTTGAGATAAACCCTCCAACATGCACTTGGAAGAAAAATTTGGTTCTTTGGTTCTAGAGGAACCTCAACAATTTAAACCCGCCGTGACCCGTAAAGAAATAACGCAGCCCATTCAAGAAATTAAAAGTATCAGAACAATGTCATTAGCAAGATAAATGACGTGATTTATCAGGACCTATGACCGTGAAGGAAATGGAAAAAAAGGTAAGTTGCCCATTTGAGTAGATTATCCTCGATTTATCGAAATAAAAGAATATCGTCTATGTTTGGAAGTAACAGGCTAAGGTGAGAGTAATTTTATTTATAATACTGGACAAGAATCAGAATTACGCAAAATTGAGTAAAATCCTAAACAACAGCACAAAATGTTTAAAAATATACAAAAATACGTCGACGATATGGGGATGATAATTTAGGTTAGTAAATTATAAGTAAATATAGGTTGTATATAGATATATATGTAAAGTCGGTACGTAATTATAAAGATAGTTATAAAAGTATTTCACGACGAAACATCAAATTTACAGACAAAAAAGCAGCATACCGGACATGGTTTTGAAGGCGATGATAATATCACTGATTTCAAATCATCGCACGAAATTTGATCAAAGTGATCGAGACGGCAATCAGTTCGTTGATATTTCGGCTGATCTATCGGAATTACACCCGATGTCGTTGATGATTTTGAATGAATGTACCCCAGGTAGTCCAGCCGAGATGGATTCAGTTGGCGACGCGCCTGTCTTTTTTTTACCCATTAACGATGAGACATTTTCTTAGTTTTAGATTACCTCTTAATCCAGCAACAGCCCACAAAAGCGCTTTCAGTACACTCTTCCTTAAGGACTTACCAACTTACCTATTTCATTTCAGTTACTAACAAAAACAATTTTAAAACGTTTAACTAACATTACATGCTGAGTATATGTTGATGATATCATTTGTTTTTTTAATGGTTAAACATTTGAATGAAATATTTGAACGTTTTTGTGATGCAGATTTAAAATTGCATCTGAAAAAATATCAGTTTACAAAAAACAAAGTACTTTACCTAGGTTACTACGTCACTGACAAAGATTTAGAAACAGACCCAGAAAAATTAAACACATTCAAAACTTTCCAATACCTACAAATTTAAGATCTTTGAGATCATTTATTGGCTTAGCACAACTTTACAGACGTTTCATTCCAAATTTTCAAGCATAGCAGCATCACTTTTCAACTTGCAGAAAAATGATCAAACTTTCGAACGGACACAATAAAACCATTTATTTTAAATACTGATGCATCAACAATTGCTAAATCATATTTTGCAGCAAAAAGATTCAAAATGTATAATTAAACCAATCGCATTGGGAGACGCACTTTGAAACAAGCAGAGAAAAACTAGATGGGCAAAGAATTACAATGTCTAGCAGTTTTAGAAGGAAGCAGTTTTATTCCAATTAATTGTCAAACAATCACTTACAGTTTACACAGATCATATCTCATCAAAATATATTAGCAGTTTAAAATTTTCAAGCAGCAGATTACTCAGATGGGCAACATTTTTGCAAAATTCATCTTTCAAATTTAACATGTTAAAAGTGAACAAAACATTGCAGCAAAGAACAGATTTCCTGCGAACAGACTGAAGATGCTGAGACGCATTTTGAGAACATGCCTTTGTTTAGATAACACCAGCAGTCGAGACTGCAACACCAGTGACATAAAATCAACACCATCCAGCTTGACATCATACAAGATCAGAAACAAGATCCCGGTTTTAGTTATATTTAATTTCAGTTATATATTTTAACGAAAAAATTCTTCCAGATGATGATAAGCAGATCAAGAAAATTCTTGCCACGGCAAATCTAACAATTCTTGATAATAAATTATATCACCTTCAATTAACAAAATCAAAATTTAGCAGCAATTGTCTATTCCTAACAATCTAAGAAACATTTTGTGATTTGATTAGCATGATGAAAATAACCACCCAGGTTTAGATAGATTGTATTCCTCGTTGAAGCAGCAATACTATTGGCCAGAAATGTAAACGGATTATCACAGTTTCAAAAGACCAAGGTTATTCCCAAATAACCGAAATCAGTTTATAAACTTTTTGAAGTTGTAGAGCCATTTGAACGCGTTCACATCGATATCATTGGACTATTACCAGAAAGCCCAAAAGATTACAAATATGCGTTAATATCTATTGAATCATAGAGTCGCTTTCTTGAAATCTATCCACTTAAAACACAAACAGCTCAAGAAATTGCTGTGAAACTTTTCATTGACTATATTCCAAAATATAGAGCAATGAAATCCATATTGTCAGACTTAGAAACTAACTTAACCTTTCAGATCATGGAACACCTTTGTAAATGTTATAACATTAAACACATCAAAGCAAGCGCATATTTGCAGCAAACAAATATATAAACTTTTAATAAGCACATCCTGCAGGCAATAAGATTGCATTGCTCAGATCAACACAATTGGTCATCAATTATTTCAGTTACAAAAGTTGTGTAGCTACCAATTCAACTAAACTTTTTGAAATTTTATACGGCAAGAAAATGAATCGAAATATAACTTATGCATCGCAATTGAGGAATAATCTTAACATAGATCCTTATGTTCAAGCACTAGAAAAAGTATTAGTATTATTCAGGAAGAAACGAAACCGAATGTACTTAGCAATCAATTAAAGTGCAAGTTATTCTTTGACAGAGACAAACTGTAGATCAATTTTGAAGAAGGTAGTAAAGTATGGTTACTCAATCGGAGGAGGAGAATAGGATAAAATACAAAACTTTATAGAAAATACGTCGGACCATTAATTGAGACAAATGAAAGTTGTTGTGTTCATCCATCGGATATCTTGAACCTATGGATAAACGAACTCTTGACTATTGTTGGAAGCTACAATACGTTGTTGGAGACATACTGAAGCTAAAACATCAGTGTTGGTAGTTACGAGGTCGAAGAGGTTACGACACTAGTGTTAGAAGTGGGATCTTCAGGAAATTACACACTGGTGACAGAGGTAAGATTTCAATAGCTGGAAGTTCACTGCAGTAAAGAATACCAGGATTCAATGTAATTAGTCGGAAAAGAGAAACTTAACTGCTGACGAATAGTTGTATTACGGCGATACACACAAGTGATTGCCAGCATTGTTTTCTTTCTAGCAAAGTCATCTGAAATAAGTCTGCTTAGGAATCAAGAATCCACGCAGAGAGAAATAACCATACCCTACAAGTTTAAGGGGCCGGTTATAACATTATTTTCAAAACGTGAAGCCTAGAAATACAGACGATAGAGTTTATCAAAATGATAAAACGGCAAACATAAAGAGTAATTGCACGTCTCTCCAAAATTCAACCCTGGAAAGAAATCACCTAATATATAACTTTGAATGCACTTTTGACGGATGCACATTTAGCAAAAGGTTTATGAAACAAGTCACTGCATTGATAAGCTCTGTGGATTCGGTTTTGTCTTGCGTCAATTCTCTTAGATGCTGAAGGGATAGGCCGTCTCTACCACCGGAAGTTCCCTTTGGAAACTGTTTTAGACACAGCATCAGTTGCTGAGCAGTGATAGAGACGCTAACGGTTTTCTTTTCTGGACTGTGTTTCCTGTCAGCCAGGGCATTGGGTTGTTTTTTAAAGCATTGAGAGTATCGTCAGAGTTCGGGGCCATGGTGTCCGTTGATGACAAAATTTTCATGGCATTTTGAATATTACCTTTTTCAATTTTGCTTTTGATCATGGCACAAATTTTTGGTTCATTCTTTAAACAGGTTTCATGGCTTTTACCAACTCCTCCAATGGGCCACTAAAAATAGAAGAAGCATCGAGCCTACTGTTGATTTGGACGCTGATGTTACGACCTCTTCCTTCTTAGGGGTCTTTATAAAGCACCATCTTTGGAAGGAATAACAATTTAAACCATGCCGTGGAATCAGATGGGTGATCACATATATTTTTCAGTATGTTGATCAAAACTAGACCAAACTTACCACACGAGTGTTTCGGTATGTAGTCGACCAAACTGTAGTTTGATGACATTTTAAAAAAGGATTCGACAAATGAATCATAGCTTTCGCTTACAACAGTCCTTGTTATTTTCGATCCAACACCCGCCATTGACAAATTCCCAATTCGACCTCCAACCGATTCCCTGCCTGCAACCGAGGGTGGCATTTTCAATGAGCCCTAGCACTCAGTACCCTTCACTTTTCCACCGTGTCCTACGAGAGTTTCGTCATGTCTCAATCTGTTATGTTTGAAACAGACATGACAATGGGTGAGGAAGGGCAATTGAGACGCGAAACCCTAGCTGGACATGTTGATGTTATAAATTAATTGGTATCAATTTATTTGTTTTTATATTTTAACCGGTTGAGTCGTTAAAAAACTTTATTATATTAGAAAAAACCTAATTATATTAAGATATTTTTATTACAAAGTTATTGTGAAGCTCACGTGCAATTAACAAACAAAAAAAATAGATACAATACTCAAAATCATAAATATTGCATTAATTGATCATTAATTGACATGACAATAACTTCACAATGGCCGGAACGTATCTTGCCTAGGGCGGCAATATCAACTCTCAGCGCCTCTAGACACAACAGTGCTCTTAGCTTAAACACTAATTATTATCAAAATTTATGAACTGAATAATCAATATATAAAACTAAAACGCGTCTTTTAATATGAGGTTAATGAATGACAGGTAATACAAACCAATGCGAAATGTGTACATTATGTACACAATACAAAGTATTACGTTAGGCGCAACTGTTATGACCATGTAATTTGAATATGTATGTAATGTTAATTGAAATTATTAAAAGAAATAAGAAAAATTATATTAAGAATTTAATTTGGACCCATAAAATAAAAAATTAAAATGTTTAAAATTTTATGATAAAATTAAATATGATATTACTGTAAAATAGAGAAACTAATATTTATCTAAATAAAACCGGTTTAAAATGATAGAAATTAAGCCAAAATATTTAAAACCGTAAAAAAAATAATAAAGACCGTAAAAAATAATAATAAATATAAAAAAGGAAATATATGCAGTTTAGTTAGGAGTTAAAATAATTAAATTAATAAAATTTAAAATAAAATATGAATATTAATATACATTATATTATTATATTTATATATTATGAATGTTATATATATATATATATATGGTTATATATATATATATATATATACATAATTTATATAATTTAAATTATATTAAGTTGCAAGATTAACGTATAAATGGTCATTAACGTTTTAGGTGATGGGCGGTAAAATTGAAATTACGCTTACAAACTATCAAAATTTTATTATAATTTTATTTTGTTATTTGTCTAGTATGTTAGGGTGTATGTATGTATGTATGCATGTATGTTAAAACCAAAACATGATGAGTGACACTGAACCGTCAAACATCAAGTAACAAATGGATTAACACTTTTATTTGTCGTTAATTGCACATGTCGGCATTGAGCTGGATATTTTCAAGCACACAGACACGCAGGAACCGCTGCAACAAGTACGAAATGTGGTTAGTTGCAAAAAACAGTTCCCTGCTGTCGCCTGATCTGACGCTGATCATTTTATATATTGCCTTAAAAAATTTAAGGGTGTTGGGGTCCATCGCGCCGAGAACCTCGATACATATTGGCAAGAATTCCATCGAGGGGAGGGCGTTCCCATATTTTTTAATTTTCTCGTCCGCTGCCCTGGCCGCGGCCAAACCGCATTCTTTACTTGTCAGGTTTAGATATCGTTCGGCAAGGGTGCCAGGGACCGTAACATCCCACGCCAAACATCTACCAGCTTTCCAAGGTATTAGTGTGCATCCGTCCGGGCGCCTACCATCATGCGCAGAAATGCGGATGGTTCCTTGAGAACCGGGATTGAAGCCTTGGAGAAGAGCCGACAAATGTAGTCGTTTAATGCTGAGTGACGTAGTTGACGGCTCCCACCCAGGCGACAAACCAAACCGTGGTGCCCAAACTCGTCCGCCCCAGCGCCACACGGCACGTGTATTTATTTTGAATGACCAGGCCAAGTCTGAAGCCAATGGCAAATCTCACAGACTCGTCGTCAAGCCTGGTGCCCACAGAGGTGTTGGGCCACGATCTCAACCACCCACAGCTGGCAACGCTGGACATGGCTAACAAACGAGCGGTGGAAAAGTCGTCGCCGCATGAAGACAAAAAATTTTGAAAGATCTTTTTATATTCTTTGTTCAAAATTTGGACGTGCGTACGGTCCCCCGTGGAGGACACTGGTGGAAGAATATCGCGGCAACGACTGTATGTATGTTTGTATGTATGTATGTATGTTTGTATATATGTTTGTATATATATATACATATGTTTATATATATATATGTATGTTTATATATATATATATATGTATGTTTATATATATATAAAGTTGACTGTCGTTATTACAAAATATCACTGCACTTTTAGCTGAATCAGTTTTTCAATATTTTGTAACTTATTTTTATCATTGTTTTTCAACTTATGTATTTATATAGAAAACAAAGTTTTTAACTACTTTTTTTAATTCTTATCTTATACAGAAAAGGCTTTTTTTTGGTAATTCTTCACCATTTTCGACGTAGTATGTTATCAAATATCAGTTGTATCATATATATCTGTGCGTTTCTAATTTATTGGTTTCAAAAAGTCCATTCTTTCTCTTTATTATTAGTTCTTTGTTGGTAGCAGAGATGCTGCATCTTGTTAGATATTTATTAAAGGATTATTTTTGTTTATGTAAAGTTAAAATTTTTAGTTGAACGGATATCTGTTGCGAAACAGTGTCTTTCGTTATTGTTCAGTCTCAATGTTAGTAGAAATGTGTCGAATATATTCTAAATTTAGGTGCCGTATTCACATTTGAAAGAATATATCAGGCGACCAACGTTCTAAGGAAAAGGGAATTAAATAAAAAATTGATTTCACTGAGCAAGTTTTCAACAATCTTAGTAAATTAGCAATAGTCAAAAAATTTTATTGGTAAAAGTACAAAGCAATTATTTATATATTTATAAAATACATATAATTCAGTTAAAAATGTTAAAATTTAAAAAATACAATGATAAATCTATCCGCACGCCGACCATGAACTTGTTAGACTGCTATAAGACGTGCGTACGAAAAATATGTTCAAAAATTCGTCGTATTTGCCTGTTTGTGATTCGCACGCCTTATAGCATCTCAAAGTCGACGTGCGGGTTTCTCAAGATTTATGATTTTAAACATTGTATTCGCCTGTTCGTGATTTGCACACCTTATAGCATCTCAATGTCAAATTCGGCATGCGGGTTAGGGTTATTTATTTTATTTTCATCTTAACGTCGAATTTGTAGTGCTAGTCTCACGCTTTACACCTTTCAAATGTATTCGCCCGCTCGTGATTCGCACGCCTTATAGCATCTTAATGTCGAATTCAACGTGCAGATGCCTCACGATTTATAATTTCAAGCATCGTAATTACCCGCGAATCGCACGCCTTATAGCATCTCAACGTCGAATTCACCGTGCGGCCTCACGCCTTATAGCATTAACACGTTCAATTCGAAATTTCTTCAAATAAGCTCTCTGGAAGTAAATGTTTATATGTTATTTATATATAATGCTTATATATTGCTAATACATCTTTTTTCCAAATTTATGATTATTTTGATTTTTTACTGTTTGTATCGTGGATATAATGGATATGGCATAAAAATTAATTTATAACAAAAATTGTTTTTTGTTCTATGGTTCAAGCATCGTCGTTGTCTTCGTCAGCGTCTTTGATTAATCGTCTGATCTGAAATTATCGCTTGCAATGTTTTTGTCTCGTTTGCTGTTTTAAATTCGATTTCGTATTGCATTTTATATATTATATACTATATTTAGTACATTTAAAAAAGAAAAGGGATTAGTATAATTTTCTGCATTTATACATTTCGTTTTATACATTTTACATTCCACATACATGTCATACATACATACAAACAACATATAGGCTACACAATACACATACATAAGTAGTTAAGTACACATGACGTGACATTGAGATTAAACTATTAGAGAATCTTAATTCTTAACTTGTCAAAATAATATTAAAAACAATAATACATTTTTAATTAGAAAATATTTGCTTAGTATTTGATTTGACAGACACAGATTCTCAACCAAATCAAAATGCCTGTGTGTTCCATTACAAAATACCACTCATCTTATTTAGATGAAAATGTTACTTTACACAGGTTAATTTAATTTAGACTATACTATACACTATATTATAGCTGTAAAGTATAACACTATACAATATAATTATAATAATCTGCAAACAATTATATATAATAATATAATATAATAGTAATAAATAATATTAGTAACATAATAAATGCATTAAATGGTAATGTTAACTCAAAGTTGTATAGATATTAATTGAAATAAATTTAAATTCAGACTGCCAAAGAATGATATTAAGAGAATGCAATGGGAAAACTTCATTAAAAAATACATTGACAAATAAGATGAAAAAAAGATTTTAATTTGTAGCAATCATTTTACACCAGAAAGTTTTCATAAAGTTGGTTTGAAAATTTTTTTTCAAAAAGATGCTTTTCCAATGATATTTGACAAGGTTAGTGTTACGTATATAAAAACCAATCATTTCAGGGTTCAGTTGTATAATTTAAATGTTTTTAAAGTTATAATTTCGAAATTAAGATATGGTTGTCAGAATAATTTTTCTGAAGTGTTCTTTATTTATGTTATGATTTATTATATACCGAAAATAAACTTATTTTAATTTTTTAAGTTCGTAACCAATAATCTGGTTCTATCATAATTTAAACATTTTGTATTTTTAGCCTTTTTCAGATGTAAAGTTAATTTCCGATAAAATTTCTGCAACGTTAATAACTGATGTGATGTCAAGTGTAAATTTGGTTCGTATTTTTAAATCTATATATTATCAAGATTGTATTACATTTTAAGCCACCAAGTATTACAAATTTCAGTTTTTATTAAATATTTTTAAAAATTTGCTTTGCGTTAAGTTTTGTTATATTTATATTGAAACATAAGAAGTATGTTTATGTTTTATGTATAAGATAGAAACATAATTAAATATTTGTCTTGTCGTTCTGACCGGAGTTATCACCTTAAAGATATTAATTAGATGCCTTGCAAATAATAACATATATTCAAAAACTTTAACATTAACTTTAATAATTTAACATTTCAGTTACCCTCGACATCATCGCGGCAAGTTGAAAAACCATCAACATCTGCTGTTAAATTGGTTTGTATGTTTGACAGGTTATAACATAATATACGTATCAAATACAATTTATTAAACTTTCTGCAACTCTCAAATACAAATAGTTATCTGAAAAAATTTTATATGGCATGCATTCATTGATGCTTCTATTTCAAAAAGCTGAATTGTCATTTAAAAATTACTTTATGAAATTTTTGGAATATATACTTGAAATGTAACAGTCTGGTATTGATGCTTTGAAATCGAGAAGTTTGAAAAGGAAAGCTAATCAATCAAGTACGACATTGACTAAAACAAGGAAAGTGTTACGGCTGCAATAAAAGAATAAAGAGATATAAATTAAATGTTCAGGCATTTAAAGAAAAAATTAAAAAACTTAAAGAAATCAATGATGAACTGAACTCAAGATTGGTTACAAATTCCGGTAAAAAAATTTTATAAATTAGAAACTATTTTATCACTATACATTTTTTGTTGAAATTGTATCATTGCTTCCAACCCAAAAATTTATTCTAACATATAAATTCAGTAAGAATCATCTGGAGTTGTTCTTCAACTTTATCAGAAGTGCAGGTTGTTCTTCAACTTTATCAGAAGTGCAGGTTTGAAAATATATAAAGTAATTTTTAAAACACTTTAACTTCGTATATTATAATTTGACTTAGGAAAATGCAATGACAATCCCAATTGTACAACAGTTTGAAACCATCTTTAAACGAGTTTATTTCAGATGTGGGATTGTCCTTGGGAAAACAGGATTTTAGCTTTATGCTTTTTCTATATTGTCATCGTAAAACAGTATACAGGAAAACATATATTACAATTGAATAACAATGGGAACAATGCATTAACAATCATTAACAACATTGCTAATAACAGACGGCTACCAATAAACTATTCCTAACATTTAATAAACATATTTGTCATGTAACAGAGAGGCAATTAAAAATGGAAACCGAGCAACATAAAATGATAACTGAATCGGTAGTTTCAAATGTTTTTAAAAGGTTGGCCAATGAAGATTTATTAAATCTCAAAGAATATATAACAGATACATTTAATGGATTAAATAATCATTATTTTTGTTTACTTAGACTTATTGCAAAAACATATATAAATGTACGTTCATTTTATTTTGGAAAAAACCACAAATCAAATAAAAATCCTTTTTAAATTTCATAAGTTAATACATTTCAAGGGAGAATAAAATCATTTATAAATGAAAAGATTTATCAACCATTTATAAATTTTGAATTGTTTGATTTACTTAGTAATTATATTTGTTTTATATATATATTAAACATAGCTATCTGTTGGTAAAATCTGTATTTTTTATTTGGTCATTATGTTTTCATAAAACCTGTCACTCTAACATCTTCATTATTTTATATTTCATTTATTTTTTTATCTATGAAATCATTATTTTCAACATATTTCAACATACTTTAACATACTTCAATCATATTTCATTTCTAATTGAGTCTTCACATTTGATTCATTCAATTGAAACAATTTTTTTTATTTTCACATATTAAATAATACTTAATCTATAAACAATTTATTTCAAGAATTTACTTTGTCTGACTGAATAGTTAGCTAATAACTTTCCATATCTCGTTTATCCTTTGTTTTGTATCTACTTATTTTTTTTTATATTTTGATCTTATTAACTTATGATTGTTTTTAATCTATTATATTTATTTGTGCAAAAATTTTTCTTTCGGTTCTCTTATATTACTTGATCTTCAATATTTTTTATTATTCTGTGATTAATTTTTTCAATTTCAATTATTCCTGCAACTTTTTTATAGTATATTTTATTCTTAATTATGGTTTTGTTATAATTGATTTGCTTTTTAATCATACTATGATTGACATTAAATTTAATTTATTGTTTCCTTTTCAAATCTTTAATTTATTACCTTTTCCGTTTTTATACATTAACATTGCTATTACTATTCCATACTGTGACTGATTTTCGATATTTACAATTATTCAAATCAAATATTTTTTTCATTTCATCTTTTAAGTATTGTTCTTCAATTTCAACATATACGTATATAATTGTTTAGGTACTGTTTATATGTAATGCTTACATATATATTGGGGAGTGTGTGTATGTATGTATGTGTGAGTGGGTGTGTGTATGGGAGTATGTGTGCCTATAAATGTAAGTATGTATAGTATATGTATGGGTGTGTAAATATGTGTATGTATATATGTGTATGTATTCATATATTAATTGGTTTTAAACATTATAATTTTACATATTTTACATATATGCTTATATTAATTGGTTTTATATGTATACATATATTAATTGGTTTTAAACATTATAAATTTTTTATATTATATATATATGTTTTAAAAATGGATTCTTTAAAAGTCTTAAAAAAGAAAGAAAAATTATTTAATGAGCATTTATTTATTTTGCTTTTTCTAGATGATCCTACTCTTCTCCTTCTTGTTATTTCGTTAGTCTTATATAGGATTGATTATTGTAACTCACTCTACTATGGTCTTCCTGACTCTATACTCTATCCTTTAAGTAAAGCTTTTAACTCTGCTGCTCGTCTAGTTGCTGGTGCCCCTTTCTATTCTCATATATCTCCATATCTTGTTCTTTTGCACTGGCTACCTATAAAATATAGAATAATTTTTAAAATTTGCACGTTCATGTATAAGTCTCAATCTAAATTATTTCCTAAGTATTTATCAGATATATTAATTGAACCAAAACGCCCCGGTTTCGATCGTCTTCTTCTTCTCGCTTTTTCTTAACTCGTGTTAAACACTCTTTTGCCAAATCTGCTTTTGCTTTTTCTGGTCCTTTTCTCTGGAACTCTCTACCTACTTCTCTGACTACTTCTCCATCACTTGCGAAGTTCAGAGCGGATCTCAACACCCATCTGTTTTCAAAATTCATTGAGGAGCGCTGTTGAACATCGCGGAAATAGCGCTTTATAAGCTAATTGATTGATTGAATTGAATCGAACTATGAATTTATGGATTACTTTTTTGAATGTTGGGGATTCCGC